GGACACTGGGAGAGGTTTGTATTTCCTTACTGGGACACTTGTGCAGAGCACGGTACTGGCAGAAATGTAACCTGTTCACTATGGAAAGTATTTGAGCAAATATTTATTGCATGCTGCCACCAGAATGCTGCAGTTATCTTGTGCCAGACATTCACAACGGACTGCAGTGAGAAATAGGGAAACTGCTCTCATTTGTTTATTTTATCTCCAATACCACCAATGCCTCACGGCACTGGCAGGGCTGAAGTCCAAATCTCAACCCTGAGCAGTAGGTTTTTGCCCATGGTAATTCTCCTGGGGAAAAAGCAGCATCTGTATCTATGTAGCCAGCTGAGCTGCGTCTGCTCCCTGGCCCTGTGGGGAAACACAGGCAGTCTGGCTGTATTTCTCCTCCTGCCTTCCTAAGCAGGTCTTGTTTCCTTGTGGGTTTTGCTTGGCATCTCTGCAGCTTGTGCTTTCATCCCAAGTGCCCTGTTCTACGTATCAGACCCTTCACCAAACACAAAGCTGTAGGGTATCAGCAGCACACGTAGCCATCATGGTATGTACCTCTGGAGATTCCTGCGTGCTTCTGAAGCTGCTTTTTTGGCTCCCATGCTAAGCAGGAGCTTTTGCTGATTTGATGCGCGCAGTTTTGAGGATCACAGGCGAGCTGCCTGGTTGCATGACTGGAGATTGATGATCCAGGATGTTGGTCCTGGTATGGGACTGTCAGACCTAGAGCTGCCATTCCTATCTGTGATTTGGACTATATGCTTAGTATAATCTTGGAAGAAAGATGAGCTATAAAATACCTCTGTCTTCAGATACATGTTGCATATGCATTTTGTCTACTAGGTGTTTAAAACATGATGCACTGTAGATAGTATGATGGAGAAGCAGGACAGCCTTATATTAGGAAGTGATTTGAATGTCTGGAAATGCAAGCCCTGGATGAGCTTAGTGTAGTAACAAATCAGTGTCCATGCTTTCCCTTCAGAGAACTGTAAATGTTGTTAATCAGAAAAGCACACATTGTATTTTCCTGAGAGTTGTTTTCATTTGATAACAGGTCCAGTGTTGGGTCGTGGTGAGAACAGTGTGTTCTTCCTTCATTCCCAGCCTCTCAGAGTGTAGCCTTATTTCTGACCTGCAGATCACTAGTGCTTAGGAGGACATCTTCCTTCCTTGCTACCTTTCTCTTCTCAATCTCATCTGAGGTTGCTCCAGCTCTGGTTTTGTTGTTTGGATCCAAGCAGAATCTCAGTGATCCTTGCCATAGCTCAGGAGTGCTGCTTAACCCATTGCAAGTGTTATTCTGGTGAAACAGGGTGTACTGGTTATTTTCTACTTTTGACTTTCAGATATAGGCACTTCAGATTTTCTTAACACTACATTGGAAATTTGTGGGGTTGTTTTGTTTTGTTTTGTTTTTTTTTTTTTTTTTTTCCACTCGGACCCCTCTGTTTCCTCCCAACAGATAGATCGGTCTTGCCTTTTGTTGTGGAGGTTGTGATTGATCATAAGCAAGGCTCAACATCTGATGCAAGCGTGCATTTAAGCTAGGGAGTCCTCTTGTGTTTGTGACTCAGTCAACCTAATTGCAGCTTTGAAATTTATAGATGCCTAAAAATCTTTCCAGTGGAGTTGCAGACCACTGGGAGATCTGCAGCCACGGGCTGCTCTGTAACACGTGTTGACTCAGGCTTCTTAAATCAGTTTTTGTGACTCAGTGGGTCATGCATTAGAAACCACTGGCCTGCTGGGCTGAAGTGACTTCTGCAGGACTGTTCTCGGGCTCTCGGCTGTTACTAGTCTGGATTCTGGTTAGTCTTTTCTTTGGAAGTGGGATCGAGGCAGTCTGCTCCTCTCTGAGAACAAAAGCACGATCAGCCACTGGGTTACTGCTGTCACTGCAGACAAGAGTGGTTTATGTTAAATGTGACTGATGTTGAAATAAACTACACCTCGGTTCTCAAGTAAGAGTGAACTTTGGCATCAAAATAAATAAGGTGTAATTTTTAGTTATTTTAAGTTGAGTTTCCTTGGAGACGGGCCCTTAGTGACTTCCGCTGCCAGTTCCTGTGATGTTTTCTGGTTTATCATAAAAAAACCTGAGAAGATTCCTCTCTTCTCCACAAAAAAATGAAATTTCACAGAAGTACAATATGTGTAACAGTTTGCCATGTTCCTGATGCGCTCTTTAAAGAGATACTGAAAGGTAGTATCAGGACTGTGGGTCAAATTCTGCATGCCTTGACTGTCTTCAACACAGCTGAAACTTCCTTGCAAGATGGGAACTTTTGGTATACATTGGTTTCTTTGGCGACCTCTTCCTGCTTTTATGTAGGGGAATATCATGCTGCTGGAATACATATTTGCTCCCCTGTAATGAGCCTTGCTTGGTTTGGAACCCTGGGTGGCTGTAGTCAGATGTAAAATACAGCAGCCCAAAGGCTGTGCTTATTTACATCGGGGTCAGATCCAGGGCAAATTGAATTTTTGGGAGACAACTGGTTTCCAGAAATAAACCCTTTTTAAAATGAGCTGTGACTAGGTACCAGATAAAATCTACCTGAATTTTTTGTCTGGATTAGCTTTTTGGAGTGGAAGCCTTTCTGCCCTTGGAAGGGGGCTAGAGGGATTGTTCTCCCTTTCAATTTTATTAATCTTTAAATGAACATCTGTGACATGCTGTAAAAAGCTAAAGTAAACACTCCTGCACCAGCTAATCATTGTTCCCTCACATCCCCTTGGGAACAGTGATAGCCACAATTTTGGGTAGCAGAGGGACCAGGGAAGACATTACGTCTGTGCTGTGCGGGCAGGACCCCTGTGTGTGGTTGTCTTTGAGTCCAACAGGATGAAACGTAGTTCTGTGAATACCCGTGGATGGGTAAAGGGGATTTCTACCTGATGATTGTGTGGTTGGACCCTGGACAGGCAGGGTGGTAGAAGAAGACCCTTGCATCTTCCCAAAGGGTGTGAGGGACCGCAGGGCAGGTCAAGGTACAACCCCAGCTTGTGAAGCATCAGCTGCTGTGACACTTGAGGCTTTGGCTGGAGACATTTCTGCCCTCAGGGCTGTGTGCTGAGGTGCAGGTCCCTCAACCATCCTTACCTGCACCATCCTTACCTTACGGGGCACATGCCTGCCACAGCCACTTGGACAAGTGCAAATCAGACTGAGGGGCTGCATCTAACATGAATAGTAACAGGGAGAAGCAGCAGCTTCTCACTGCCAATGCCTAAGGCCTGCCCTGCCTTGAGGCTGGGACGAGACACCAAGCGTGGGGACTGCGTGCGGGTCGAGGTTTGCGTGTGCCCCTCCTGGAAGGGAGTTGCTGTACATCGTTCCCGCGTTTAGGGCTCGGCATAGCAGGAGGTACAAATGAGGTGTCCCCAAATGCTTTGTCTTTGCCCGTCCCACCAGCTGTTGTTTCTTTGGGGAGTGACTGCTGTCTGAGCAGCAGTAGTTGGGCATCAAAGCATTGAGTGCTGCCTCGTTTTTCAGCTGGGACTCATGTGAGCTGACACGTAAATTCAGCAGTGTATGGATAACTGTGTTATTGAGGCAGCTGGAGGCTTGGAGTCACTTGCCCCTCTCCTCACTGCCACTGCTTGTGGTGGCATGTTGTGAGTGGGGTGAGGGACATCACAAGGTGGAAGGGCAGTCTTTTGCTCAAGTATGTTTGCTTCATGTTGATACTTCAGGGTTATGCAGGTCTTCTGGGCTGACACGCTCTGCAGGGGGAGGATGTGCCATTTGTCAGCTGTTGGGATATTACCAGTGTGCTTGACATTGGCAGGGGCAGAAAAAAATTCCTGTAAATGGTAAGGGTTTATCCAGAAAAAGCCTTTGTGTTTTCACCAAGGAATTCCCCTGAACCAATCTTTGCCTCTGCATGCTTGCAAGGAAGTAGATAATGGCTTGCTGAGAGCAGTGCAGTGGAAAGCTGTGTGTTTATACTTGGGAAGAGGGAAGGACTTTTCACCAAGAACTTTTTGGTCGATGCCCAGGAAGAGGAGGATTAGCAGATTTAGAGCCTGGCCTGTCTCCCTGCCCTGGTTGCATGCCCTACCCTCCCCTGGCCTGAGATACCAGGGAGGTCTGAGTGTCATGTGTACGTGCTGGTGCAGTGACTGGTTCCAGTGACCGGTTGAGGTCAACTGCAGCAAGAGTTCCAGTTATGAGAGGCAGTAGGTCGAAATACAGACAGCCTGGTGTCTTTATAGCTGTAACACTTAGGCCATATTTTAAAACTCTCCAGAGATTTTGTTCAAACGCTTCTTCCTCAGAAGTCTGACACTGTTCTGGCTGAAGGTGTTGTACTCTCTTTTGAAGATAAGGTGCATTGTGGCAAAGCCAGTGGCACCAAATCACTATCCAGTTCAGTGTTCTCAAATCTAGTTTTAAATTTGAATTTTCCCAGAGTTGCTTTCTTTCTCATCCCAAGTTTATTAACCTCCCTCCAACTTGGAAAACATCTTAGAATTTAAATCAGCTCTGGGACGTAATCCTGGGAACACTATACTTTGTTGTGAGTAAGTTTGGTTTGTAACTTCAGAAAAAAATTTTTTTTTCTTTGAAAAATAGGAAGAAATCCCAAATAGGAACTTGCCTAGTGTTGAGGCCACTGGCTTCAGCTGGTGAAAAATGGAGCAATTCTAGATCATACTGGCTGAGATCCTGCCCGCCCAGGCTTTCTGTTTAACTGGTTTTGTTTTCACTGTGTATTGATATAATTTATTGAAATTATGCCATTGTCTTGACAGCCTTCAGTGATGATTTTTTTTTTCCCCTCTCCATGCAAATAGTGTATTGTCTTCAGTGAACTGTTTAAACAACATGGAAGCATTTACTGTTCATCCTTTCATTATTTATAGCAGTAAATAATATTGATTCCTTCCTGCTTTTCTCCCCACCCCATATCAAGTTAGTTTAATGTCTAAATGTTACTTTGATTAACAGTGTCTCTTACGCCTGACCGGTCTCACATTCATTGTACTTTCGTTGCCAGTCCCGCAGTGTCGATAAGCAGCACGCTGTAATCAACTATGACAAGGAGAAAGACGAGCACTGGGTGAAGGATCTCGGGAGCTTAAACGGCGTAAGTAGCAAACCTCCCAGCTGACAGAGGCAAACACGCGGCGTGCTGAGTCTGCAAGCACTTGTGCACTTATTGAATTCTACTCTTTAGGCCCTTTTGGGTCACTGGAACTGTTGGCATGAGTTAAGCTAAACGTACATAATTATTTGCAAGGCCTGAGGTGGAGGTCATGTAGCATCTCATCTTAGAAGAGGAAAGCTTTGGTGAATATTGTATTTCTTTTTCCCATTCTTCTGGTGTCCTTGTAGAATGCTTCAGGCTCACAAAATCATAGCGCCTCCTGCAAAAGAGGAGGAAATGAATTCAGTCTCATTTTGGGGATGCTAACATTAAACTGGTGAAGATTCTGGAGCAGCTGTTCAGGATGTGCAGGGTGACCTTTTGGCGATGCAGTTGTCAGTGCATGGAATGATTTATGGGATGATGAGACATTTAATTTCTTCGGGGAGAAACTATTTAAAGCTACCTCTTTTATAACAAAAATTGCTCTTTTGCCTGCCTTGAGCCTGGCTTGTGTGAAGGCCGAGGGATAATGTAAGCCCAGAATAGGGAGCTGAGCCTGCCTGAATCCTAACCCTTGCCCCGATTCACTCGGTGTGAGGCAGCTCCGTGAGGGCTTTTTCTGCCTACCTGAATTCCGTGACTTTTAAATACACCATTGTAGTTAAAACTGTCCTAATGTCATAGCATGCCTCTGTTTAGACTGTTTCTTCATACCAGCAGAGCTATTCCTCTGCTGCAGTAGGTCTAAGCTAGACTCACATAATTGTCTTTCCCAGTAAGGATTTTACTGCAGTCATTGTTCTGGGCTTAGAAACAGAAGCCTTCCACCATCACAACCACAAAACCACAAGATGAACCCAGAAACTTGTACAAAAACAGTGGCTAAAGCAGACCTCAACTGTTCTGCTGGATCTGGCATCTGAAAACAGCAAGAATAAGTACTAATAGGCTTCTTAGCCTAATAGCTGAAGGCACAGAGCCCTGCTGAAATGGGAGTACTTCCAGTAACTGTTCTGGTCTCTTAGCTGGATCCCTGGTTCAAAACCTGTGGTATTTAACTCATGGTGGCAAAACAGCAGCTGAAAATTCTGCTTACAAGAGGGGGAAAGCTTGAACCACTAATTTTCTTTTACCTTCATATGCTAAAGTGTATGAATTTACAGCATTTTAATAATAGACTTGTGCTCGAAGGGACAGTGGACTAAAAACAGTTATAGCTGTGCCTGTGTTCTGTAGCTGGTCAAACACACTTCTGTTGGAAAAAACTGTTGTGGCCAAATTGAATTTATTTTGTGTGAAAGAAACAGGTCCTTGTTTGAAAATTTTAATGAAAACTTGTTTTCTCCCCTGAAACTAGAGAAATCACTTCTGAGGACCTTGATTTTAATTCCATTTTCATAATTTGCTTTTATTTTGTATTTACTTAATGGCTTGTCGACAATGCATTATATGGCTTTGCTGGATGATCTGGTTCATATTAATTGTTGAAATGCTTTGTATTGTTTTTATTATAATGTTCAGCTGATTCTACAGTCCCTATTAAAGGTCTTTTGGTTTTGAAGGCAGTGTTTCTATCTGCAAGAAGCAGTTTCTTTTGAGTTATTTTATCTGAAGTAACCATGGATGAATAGGTAGCAATATCAAAATGGGGGTTTTTGCGGACTTCTGTTTTGCAGAAAATTCAGCAAATAATTATTCCTGTTCCAGGTCTGACTGTTGTGGGATTTTTAAATATTAAAAAATACCATGCAAATAGGAATTCCGTGCCTTTTAACCAGCTTCACCGCTTTTATTCTGAAATTACAGGCCTGTTCCCCAGCTCTTCTGTAAATTGCCAGGAAGCTGGGGGCTGTCATCTGCTGAGGTTCTATTTTCCTGCTCCAGCATTTGTTTTTCCCCTGTGGTTAATACTTGGTCTTATCATGCATGTTTGGCTTGGCTGAGGTGAGAAGGCAGGAGGAGGAGACTGTGCCTCAATGGTGAAAGCACGTAAATTCATTTTCTAGCATAATTTTGATTCTTTGGAGCATAGCTGCATTTGTGTTGAGGCTACAAAGACCCAGCAGCGAGTTCCCGGTGTGTGAGGCTGGGTGAATTCCACCGTGCCAGCCAGGGTGACTCCTGGTGTCTGTGACTGCCCTGGGTGCAACTCAGTGCCTGATCCCTGTCAGCACGCTGCTGCTTCTTCAACTGAGTTCCTGATTTATTTTTTATTTGGCCTGGGTTCTTACAAAAGTACATGAGTTTATTTGTGAAAGATGTCCACGAGTGCTTGATTTGTTCCTCTGTTGTTCTGCGAGAATTGCCCCTTAGGGAGTCCCCTTGGAAAGCAGGCATCTGAGACATCTAAGACGTTTGTTCACAGCTATGAAGTACATTTCTTGCACCTTTATAAGGATAACTTAGCTTCTTTGGGCCTCAATTAACTGCTTGGAGCATAGGAAAAAATGAGTATGTGAGTCTTTTGTGCAAAGGGCCTGTTGTACTGATCTGTGGTGTCTGGGGCAACGTGGCCTCAGACATCATAGTGATGCCACTGCAAATGCTTGTTTTCCTGTGCATTTTCATCCCCCTCTTCCTCTGTGATGGGCTTTGCTTGTTAATTTATCAAGCCTTGGGGCTGACACCAGTCTTGTTTGACATCCGGCAGAAAGCTGATTCCCAGCTCAGTACTAAGAGTGTGAGTTGCACCGTTTGCTGCTCTTGCGGGTTGTGAAGGGTGGAGAAGAACCGAGAGCATCTGAAGTTCCTAACTTCAGGCATCTCATTTATGTGTTCAAGTCAGGGACTAAAATTTCATTTGCAGTTGGTGGAAAGGTAAATCTCCCTAGAGGTCCTGTCAGAGCACCTTGCTTTGAAGCGTAATTGGGGTGCTCTAACTTGCCCATGGGAGCTACTTGCTGGTGTTGATTTTTTTTTTTTTTTTTTTTTTAGGGAACTTAGCTCCTCACCTGGCTGACTCTGTGCTAGTGCACCCTGAATGTGTGCAGTGTTGTTGGGAGATGGGCATGGGCACCCTCCAGGAGCCCCGTTCATCTAATATGCATCACCTTGACCCTCAGTTAAAAAACATCCCTGTGCTTCTTTCCTGCAGACGTTCGTCAATGATGTGAGGATTCCTGACCAGAAGTACATCACCCTAAAACTGAATGATGTCATTCGCTTCGGCTATGATATCCTTGTCTGAAGAGGGAGTGGGACACAGTCTTTGGGGTTAATGCTGTTTTCTGCATGGAGAGTTAACAGTGTTAATTGTGACTAATGAATAAGGGTGTTTGCTTTGCCTCCTGGAGCCTTTGGATGGTTCATAAGGTTATGTTTCTCCACCACAGACCTGATTCGGAGCATGTTAATCATGGTGCCTGCTACCTTCATTGGACTTTGAATCAGGCCCTGCACTGACAGTAGTGACTGTGGAAGTGCCTTGTCAGTCTCTTTCTAAGGAAGGGTTGCATTTTTTCTTTTCATTTGGGCAGCAACTGTAGCTGGTACCAGCCGGGGAGCCTATTTTTTATGCTTTTGTATGAACTAACATCTTTGTATTTTTTTTCATCCAACTTGTGTGTTTTTGTTATTCATTTCACCCAAATGCGTGCTTTCAGACAATTTGTAGGTCTTGAGCCTTCAACATTTAGCTCTGGGGCTTGTGATCAGTCCCTTAACTCTCTATCGATTGAAGTTTGCTTGTGCAAATTGCTTCTGCCACAAAAGGCAAGAGTGGATCTCTCTTTAGCAATAGCAAATTTCACCTCTGTGGAGGGAGGCTAGGCTGCAGTTACTGCTTTGTTTTACAGAGTCATAAATCCTGCTAGTGTCTGGGAAAACACCTTTGTCTTCATCCCTTTCCTTTTTTTTCCTGATGTGACTGTATGATTGGCTATAAGCATAGATACTGGAATGCCTTTCTGAGCTTGCAGAGCAACAGTGGTAAGTAGAGGCTCCTATCGTAGCTTTTTCATGTATTTAATCTTTTTTTTCACTTTTTTTCTGTTACTTCTATCTGCCAGACTTTACCCACTCAGGCTGAATTTAGAAGTAGCAAGTGTCTTCTCCAGGTTTTTTTTCTTTTGTAGGGAAATTTCAGTTGAAACAGTCCAGCAGTTTCTGAGAATAGAGGTAGAGACTAAATTTTACCATTGCAGGGGGAGGAAGTGTTTGACTGGAAAACTCTTGAGCGTTCTTGACCCCCAGGCCACGTTCTTGTGCCTTTTGTTGTCCCCATGATAATCAGCTTGTGGTTGGCCATGCTGAAGACCTTGAAATACTCCAAACCTTGCTGAATCCCAGAGAGCTGAAGCAGTGAGGAGAGGCTGAGCCTCTCTGGCCTTCCAGGGATCTGGGTATCTCAGCTCTAAGCAGTGACAGTGCAGGAACACTCACTGCTGCAACAGGGATGCTTAAACTGATGTGTGTGCAATCCTGGATCTGCTCAAGTGGAGGGTTTTCTAGGCCTTGTGTAACACCATACTTTTGGTCTTGGTCTCACTCTGTCTCTTGGTATTTTAGAAATAACAGATCCTTGCATTACAGTGTTTTGTTTTTTTTTTTTTTTAAGGGAGATAGTTGCTGTATCTTTTTTTAAAAAAAGGAGGAGACAGATGATATGCCTTCAGATCAGTATTTGAAGAGGGTGCAGCTGATGAGGGTTCAGGCATACATGGGGAAAAATAGCGCCTTACTGAGTGCTGCCCGGTGGAAGAGAGCTGTCATCGGGGATCGTGGGGTTAAAGGTGTTGTCTCAGTGCACATGTGATGAAGCCTGTTACAGTCCCCTAAGCAACCTCAGTTCTAGCTTTTTGTGACTTTGCAACTTTGCAAATTTTTTTTGATGTATCTGTTCACATGTCTTCTGGTCTCTAGATGTGTGGAGAAACTCATAGAAGATTTGTTGTGAGCTCCAGTCTAGTGAAGGCATAAGCCAGTGCCTAGAGTGTGGGTAGGTTTTAAAGTGTACGATACAGGTTTAAACGTTTTATAGAAAGCAATTCTTAGTACTAAGCAGCTGAGTGGAAGTGTTTAGTCCTGCAGCCCTTACACGGGTATTCATGCGAAATGAATGATTGCATTTATGAATTGTACAATTTATTGCCCTCAACAGGAAAACTTTAAAGAATTTAGGTTTTAAAGTCATCTTTTTACTTCAGCGTAGTTGCTATGGCAGTTACAATCTCTTCTTCTCCTTTGCAGCTTCAGTGCCACGCTCTTTAGCAGTGCTTTCTGTGAATAGCACGTTCAGCACGGTGTGGATGGCAGCATCTCCTGAGGTCTCGCAGTCAGCTGGGTGCTATTGCATAAGAGCATTTGTCTCTTTTCCATTTACAGTTTCACTTACTGTGTGGAGTTTCCCTGCTATGCCAGTATCACTTGGTTTATTTTTAGCCTAACATTTTCCATCTTTCCTTTTTCCTCCCCTTTGCTCAGTGCTGTCCTGATTGGGTTGTTCACGATGACATTGCCAGATGCTTCCTTTTTTTTTTTTTTTTTTTCCTCTCAGTGTTGCTAAGGATTATTGCCTAGGCTCAGCCATGTTGAACACCTCCGTTCCTGAGAGGTCACGGCAGCTCATGACCTGATTTACTTTTCGTCTAGGAAACTGCAGTGGCTGAAAGGCCTTGTCAGGGAAAGAGAGCACCATCGTCCCAGGCATCCTTGCAGGGGCCTGAACTCTACTGTTCTGTTGTCCAGAGTGTGCAAGATTGCCCCATCTTGGCCAGAATACCATGGAGAGAGAGGGGTCTGCCTGGAGCTGCCAGCCAGGTGGAGAGGAGCAGGGTGTGAGTGTTTCAGGGCTCTGGTTGCTCCCCTGGGTCATGCACAAAACTGCTAGTGCCCCCCCAGGCTTCTCTTGCCCTGCTCCCCTTGTCTGCTGTCCTTCAGCTGACATGGGTCTGGCCAGCAGATGATTGCACTCCTTCTTGCAAAACATGCATGACAAAGACCATGGTGGGGTACAGCACAGGTTGCTTTTAGTATCCTGTGTATTTTAAACTTCTCTGGTTTTATGATTTGGTTTTCTTTCCGTGACTAAATGCTAGATTTATCTGTCCATCCAATTCCTTCGTGATTTCCTTAACGAGTTCTGAACATTCGAACATGTATGTCCTGGAACAGATTCAACACAAAGTCCCAGAAGAAGCATTAAAGGTAAGGGTTGTCTGTGTACAGGTGCCTTTTTAAAAACTTTTATTTAGTGCTCTAATAATGGTCAAGTGGAGTGAAATATTAAAATACTCTTGATGGCAGCAAAATGTGAGGCCCTCCTTTGACTGGAACTTAAAAAACCCTTCCTTTGAGGAGAGAGACATTTCCCAGTTATCTCAGCTCTGATCTCTCTTATCCCTTTGCTAACATGAAGTTATTTATGATTTCATGACTCCCGATAAAATAGGTTACTAAAGCTGTAATGTATTAAAGAACAGTCAGCACATTAGCTTGTGGTTGAAGCACAGCAGAACTTGTTCCCTCCCAGAAGTGGAACACAGATGCCTTTTTCTGAGCCTGGTGACTTAGGCCAGCTCCATCACACTTCCTCCAGCAGGCTAAAGTTTGCTTAATTTATTCCTGTATATCATCTAATTTTTGCCTTCACGCTCCCAATTTTTACTTCCTGAGCAGTCCTCTTACAAGTGAGGTGTTTTTAAACAAAGAGTTCAGTAGCAGGTACAAAATATTCAAGCATCCTCTTATCTAAGGCAGAAAAGCAACCCCCTCTAGGCAAGAAAGCTGTCATGTTCAGTTGAGGGACTGGGCTGCCAGCGCCAAGCATCACCTCTTGGCTAGCAGATACTATCTTAGCCCTGGTTCCACGTTTAGGACTTGGAGAGGATCAGAAATCTAACAGCTAGAATTGAGCAAATGCTTCATTGAAGTTACTCAGGGGTAATCTGAATGGGTACACCCTTTTGTTAATTTACTTGTAATAAACCCACTATTAAATATCTCATTTACCACGTTAATGTGGAGCCTGTTTTAAGGCAGAATCACTTTCCTATCTGGAGAGAGGGTTTGGAGAGAAATAATTAAAATATATATTAATTGCCTTTGCTGAAGAACCGAGATAATGCAGATGAGCACCTGAAATAATTTATAAAGTTGCTTTAAGAACAATGGGGATTTCAGGATTTGAATTTTGAATGGAAAATGGCCTAAGTTCTGATTCTTCTCAGTTTTTTCTTGAAAGGCTTTCCTAATTAGCTGTTTTGCAGGACTAAGTCACAGTGACCTTCTCGTGGACTAGAATTGTCACTTAATGTCTTCCAAACGGGGTATTTGAAAGCCTCTCTGGCTGGCACTTCTGCTGTTCGGTAACCTCTGCTCAGGTGTGCTTTCTTTTTGTTGCAGAACATAGCTGTGATATTCGCCTTTGCCTGATCAGTTTGTGGGAAAGGGTGGTTTATCTTTTCCATGGGCTAGCACACAGGGGGTGGGCACACTGCAACTGTTGCTTGTGTCTCTGCAGCATGAGAAGTACACCAGCCAACTTCAGATGAATTACAAAGGCACGGCAATGAAGAGGGCGGAGCAGCCCATGGAACATGGTGTCTACTCTGAGTCCCCGCAAGCAAAGCTGGAGAAAGGAGAGAGGAAAGCAATTACAGGTACTTGCTCAGGAACCAGTTAATCAAGATTCAGTACGAAGTGCAGATTGAGCCCTGCACTGGGTCATGATTCTGACAGTACAGTGTTGTGGGTTGGATCTAGGAGCAGTTCCAGAAGGGTCATCTTTATAAACCTCTGAGTATTACAGACTCTCAGTTTTTGGAGATTTAGCCTCCAAAAGAAAAGAGAACTGGAGTGATGGCTCACGCATGCCTTGTCGCTGTGTGTGTGCTGGAGAACCCGTGGGCTGAGCAGGTTTGGTAAGTTTTTTGGCACCTGTCTGGTCTATTTTTAATTTCCTAATCGTGAGCTGGTGTTTGAACAGACACGGTGACTCAGAGTAGGAAGTGTATGGCTGCTGTGGTGTGGTGCTGGCAGGCAGGCAAGCAAAGAAACAACAAGCCATTTCTTTCCAAAAAGCCCTATATGGTCTTAAATGGCTCTGTTTCTTAATGTGCCAATATGTGGAACTGAAACTGACTGCCAAACTGGGAGACATTTGTTTCAGGTTCACTGTTCCCCGGCTGCAAACCTTTTCCATTTGAAAAATTCCTTCTCTTCTCCCTTTCTTTACCCACTGCTGCCTTTAAAGACCCTTTGTGAAACTTGCTTCCTCCCTGTTTCCCATCGTGGTGGGCCAGGACCTCCCCAGCAGTCTTGTCTCATCCATCTCACCTAACTGCCTATCTCCTGTATGTACTGCCCTGGCAGGTCTCTTCCCAGTTTCGCTCAGATGTCAGTTGGTGGCCTCTTCAAGCCTTATGATGTATGGGAGGAACAAATATGATTTTAAAGCATCCCAGTGACAGCTCTGTGGTGGTCTTGCGGCAGCAGGATGGCAAAGCGATTGGAGAGCTTTAGGGTTAGCAGAGAGGCTGCCTGCTGGGTCTGTTGGAGGAGGAAGCCAGGGAGGTGAATAGAGGGAAGAGGGCAGGCAACTAAAAGGGTGAGACAGCATCTTGGGTGAGATGACCTAGAGATAGATACAGCAGCTTTCCAGAAAAGCATACAACTTTGAGTAAATCTGTTAAGGCTTCATGATAACTAAGTGGAGTGGTTGGCTGACCTTAATCTCCCATGTATTGTCTTGATGAAAATTCCTCTAAACTGACATAGTGTACTAAACCAGCATGTTTTTTCTCCCTGCTCTCGTTTTTGCCTCCAGCTGTGTGTGGAAGCACATGCACATGCACCCATGTGCCTGGTTCCCATTTTTTCATACTGCAAAACCTTTCCTTGGGTTGCTTTAGCTGTGTCTGTGTGTTGTCCTCCCCCATTCACGTGGTGTTTGTGACTTTGCCTCGCAAGCGTGCAGTTAAAGGGATGAAGTCAGTGATGATTAACCATGAGAATTAATTTGAGAAGTAGTAAACCTCACTGGGGGAGAGCTCTCCAGCTGCCTTTCAAGTGGCATGGGCTCTTGAAAAGCATCGCCGGTAACTGAGCCAGTTTGCCGGTAACTGGAGCCAGTTTACATTTGCTGCTGCCTAGGTGCATGAACATTCTCACTTTTATTGCCACCTTCCAAAATACACACTGATTGGTTTTAACCTGTATAGCGTAAAGCAGTTGATATTTGGAACACCTTCACAGTCAGGACATTGAGTGTCTCTTCGGCAAGCTGACCCATTTCTCTAGCGTGTGATTCGCAGACCTCCATTAGTTTCTGTCATAGTGAGCACAGACCACAGGTCTAAGACAAAAAGGGCTGTGAGTACTTAATTGGGAGCCAATGCTGAAGTATGTCATGTGCACTGGGGCTGATGGACAGGTATAAAAAGTAATGAAGTGCTGCTGAGGTGGAGGAATTCAGGACTTTCTGTTGGAAGTAGTTTGCTAGTTTGGACTGAAGCCTGTGGAAGCAAGAGAGGAAGCCTGAGCATTAAATCAGCACCTCACTCTCCAAAAAGCATCTCTGTCACGTGAGCAGAATGATCAGTGGGTCCCTTTTTCATCTGCGATGTGACTAATTCACCTTGTTTTCAGCTGCACACATGCACAACTTCTCCTTGGTTGCTCGGAGGAGTGGCAGCAATTTAAAATAGTTAGTGCAAAGAAGAATGTGGTATTCCTGCGGGGAGTGGGCTTGCTTAGTGGCAGCAGAAAGAGGCTTTGGCGAAAGAGCTGTTTTGCTAAGCCTGTAGGTATTTAGGAATTTGCATTGACTAATTAGAGCAAGGTCTGGGGTGACAAAAGCCTTTAGAAGGATTGCTTCCCAGGGCCTGGGTGGAAAAGAGGCAGAGGGAATGCAAGCTTTCAGGGAAGAGGTTTAACAAAACAGTGTGAACAATTAGAGCTGCTTAGAAATGGGAGGAGGTGAGGGGCTGAGGATGAAGAGATCCAGTGGAGTGAATGGGAAACAGCCATTTAGTCTTTACGCTTGTTGAGCTTGCAGCTTTTGGGTGTATGTTGCCTGTAAGCAGAAAATGATCAGGCTTTGTGAAATGTTTGAGGCAAAGACCTTGGTAAGCCCTATGGGTTGGATATGGATATGAATAAGAAAAGTGCCCACAGTTCAGCTAGTGAATGCTAAAAATAGCTAGCCATCAGCTCTCATGTTTAAAGCCTTAAGCTATCAGGCAGACAGGTACAGCCTTGAACTGAGCAGATTTTAAGACTGTCACAATCTCCATCTGTTGTTACCTGAGTTGAGGTACTGGATGAGGTAAGCTACTTTGTGGTCTTCTGTTCCCAGCACATAGTTAATCCTCAGGCTGATCTTAAATATATTTTTTTTTTTGAAAGCCCATAAAGGGTGATGGGACTAGATAATGCAGAATCTGATGACTAACCCCTGAATAACTGCTGCAGGCCTGAGTTTCCAGGGGTGGAGGCTGCTGGCAGTGTCCAGCTGAAATGGGCATCACCAACTGCAGGATCAGGGCTTGAGCTTCTCCCAGGATCCGTGAAGTAGGCTTGCTTGCCAGGTCAGCATCCATGTCATTAGGGCGTCCTCTCAACAGAGTGTCCGACTCGAAAGTCTTCCTGGTGCCTGGGGCTGAGGTCAGTAGGCAGTATGGACAGAGGCAGTGGGAGTTTTGCCCAGTTGTGAAGTGGTTTCCATGGTCTTTGGCTGCTTTCCCCATGAGATCATGGTAATAGCTGTTTAGACGCACAGCTCTACGCTAGCCTTTAATTTAGGGGAGTGGTGGTGGTGTATGCTTTTTGTCTGAGTGAGGGTGGTGGTACCTGCAGCATGTTAAAGGTTTGGCCATGTAATTGATACAAATAAATTTGTGATTATCAGCCCGATTTGAAAGGGTCTGTGATCTGTGTATGTTCACAGCAGGTACAAAAGCCCAGGGCTTAGGTCTGCCATGCACATGTGGAATAAATACTGCAGCAAAGAGTCAGAGAATTGCTTTAAGGTTCTTCCTACTAGATCTGAATTCTCTGTTTTGCAAAGGAGATAAAAAGCAGAGATGTAAGGAATTAATTTTAAGATATTACAGCTAGAATGTATTTTTTTTTCCCTCTGCTGTAAGAAGCCTACTCAGCATCTTCTGAACATTGACATTATTGTTATTAATAATGAATCAAAAATGGTTTGACTTAAAGCAAGCTGGATTTCTCATGCTTTTGTTATGACTTGCTGTAGACAGCTTCAAAGCTGCGTGTGCTTCTGTCAGCACAGAAATTTGCTGTTGCTGTCTCTCCCTTGTGACGGTTTGAAGCTTTGTGAGGACCTGGGCGAAGCGCAGCCCTCAGTCCTGTCCTGACCACAGGGGCCACCATCAAGGGAAATCAGACCCTTCTGCAGTGGGGGCTGAGTGCTTGTCATGAAAGCTCTTCTGCCCACTTGGTGATCGAAAGCAGCATTAACATGGGCTTTCTCCTTTCCCTTTCATCTCCTGGACTGTTCTTTTGGTCCTTGTGTGTTCTGTGTGATTCACTTCTCCATAAATACATCCTTTGTAATGACATGTCTCATTTTCTCTTGTTGTGGTGCCTCTCTTTCAGGTGATCAATAGTTCGGTATTAATTTAACAGGCCATGTTCTTGTTAGACTTGTTAAACAAATGGACCTCCCTTGTTCTGCATTAAAACAGCCTTCATTTTTTCTTTTGAGTGACGGCCTCAAAGACTGAAATCCAGGAGCAGAACATGTGTATGTCAGTGGTCTTCCCTGTATTACACGGTCACCAATAGCTCAGTATTTATCTGGCTGAATGCTTGTGCTGACCTCAATTCAGCTATCTATAAGGATGGTTTTTCAGGCTGTCTGCTTGAATTGATGAGCCAAGAAATATGTTTAAATGAATTGGCACCATCTGGGCAGCCTGGCATGGAGTGGAGAGAGGTGGTAACGAGCTGCCATCAGTTGGAGGAAGTCTCATGTCATTAAAATGACTGAGCGGTTAGTTTTCATTGGTGTTCCTCGGCTCACTGCTGACTGGAGCAAGCCCCGAGCGTCTCTGCTTTTGCAAGAGCTTCCATCTTATACTAAAATATAACAGACAGGCAGTGGCTTCAGGGTGGTAAGTGTGTCTCGGGATACAGGCAGACGCGCTGCTCTGGATGCTGCAGGTCCAGGTTGAAGTCAGTACCCAAAATGCACATCCCAGCTGGTGAAGTGCAAAGCCTGCCTGGCACAACTGCACATGTAGCTGCTCCCTGGCCCACTTCTGTTCCAGCCATCTGGTTTAGCTGCCATCGTAGCATGCTTTTTTTATTTTTCCTTCCCCTTTTTATACAATATTGTTGTGTTAGAGCTGGAGTGGGGAGAGGCATCGGGTTGGTTTTGCTGCCAAATCAGGAGGGACAGAAGCATCTGACATGGGCAGGGGAGCAAATTCACGTAGCTCTTCTGACGTAAGGGAAACTTTACCCTGGCTCAGGATCTGGACATTTTCAGCAATAGCTGAGAATGAGGGTCTGTGTCACTTCATAATGTTATTCAAAATTCAAATTAATATGAAAGCTCCATGGAAATATTAATTGCCCTTAAAATATTGAAACTCCCCCCAAATAGTAAGCTAGTGACGACTCGGCTTTCAGTCTGTCCTTTTTGCAGTCTTTAAAATGAAGTTCCAGATTATTGTGGAGGCTGGAAGAGGAGAGGAATAAAAAAACCCCCCCAGAATCAAGCAGCTGTGTTACTCGTGCTGTAGCAGAGCGTTGCTGGTGGGGCGGTGTGAGCTCGGGGTGGTGGGGCAGGAGGCAGCTTCTGCTGCCATGCAGCGAGGGCGGCGGAGCGGCTCCCACCCTGGTGGCCCCAGGTGGGAGGCAGCCTGATGCTCTCTCTGTAGGTGCTCTGTGACATGCCCCCGGGTTTTGGCTTTGTGCAAGCTTTCGTCAGAGAGGGAATCTGGGGAATTTCCAAGCACCTATTAGGGTTCTTCAGGGTAGAGGGGGAAATCCGAGAGGGCAGAGGAGTTGGCTCATTATTCTTTATGAATCCTCTTTTTTTCCTTCAGCTTTCCTTGCAATCCCAAAGTTCCCCATCAACAGAAAAAGTCTGGCCAAGGTTGACGTGCTCCCTTAGCTGCCTTTTCCCTGTAGTAGGAAAGCTTCTGAAGGACAAAGGCAGTAGGTCCTGTGTTCAGTGCACAGGTAGGACACAGACCTTGGGCCTGGAGCAGCTTCTGGGAAGAAGTCTGTCCTGCAGGATGCATGGGAGCTCTCTTAGCTCACTTCTCTCCCTTTGGAAACAAAATTATTGGAACAGGTAACTAGAATCTTCTGGACTAGGGCACCTTTGGGATCCTGTGAGGGGCTGGGATGTGCTAGAGAAATGAAGCTCTAACGAGGCAACTCCTTGCCAGGTACAAGTGGTAACAGCACCCATGCTTAGGAAAGATGCTGCTTGTGCAAGAGTCGAGTGCAAAATGGTCTTTGCAGTAAATCTGTAGGGTAGTATGCTCAGGATTTTTTCCACCAGCAACTTAAAATAAACCACTGATGTGCTTTCATAATTGATTGTATTAATCTGAGACAAGTACCTAAAATCTCAAGTACCTAAAATCTCATGTGATTCTTCAGGGCTGGGCCCTTCACTGTGCCCCACTGACCTTTAGGCATGAGTTACCTCAGACAGAGCTGGCTGTTGTTAATGGATTTGTTCAGCACCCCAAAGTATTGTTCTCCTCCTCCTGGCCCTAACTGCCTCTTGGCCATCAACCCCAAGATCAATACTGCAATTCAGAGGGTGATAGTCCATTGCAGCATGTGCCCAAAAGAAGCGACTGACATTGGTAGAGCAGATCCTGTGTGGTTGGGTGTCTGGTGGGCATGAAGAGAGTGTGGTAGGTTTCTGCTAGGCAGTGCGACAGAAACCTAGCAGGGACCAAACCCTGGGTTTGGGTGCCTCTGTTCATCGAAAAGCTTGAGAATAGTTTTTATTTTTATTTTTATTTTTTTTTCCTTTCTTTCCCTCTCCCTTGAGTGGTTTACCCATCCTCAGTTATGAAACATACTGCTTGACAATTCCAATTTATTCGTGGTGAGAAATGCTTTTTCCTTTGAACTTTCAAAGGCCGCCTACATAATGGGAACACAGTTTATCTTCCACGTACTCCAGGCAGAAAGGAGAGGAATACTTTCAGCCTCTTTTGATCCTCAGTGTGAAGGGAGGCAGCGTGGTTAATTTTGAAACACGAAGATTTCTTGAAAAGGGCCTGTGGGCTGCATCTATAAAGCAGAAGTTTTGCCTGTGGACTGTCAGTGTATGAGCTTATATATCTCTGGAACTATTCTAGAAAAAAAAAAAAAACCATCTGAAGTGGTGTCCATTAGGTCTGTGTAGCTTTAGAAACAGCAGCATAAAATCAGGCTCCTTTTTTTTTTTTTTTTTTTCTTTTTAATTAATTCCTCTTCCTCTCCTGACTTCCCTTATGCTAACAAATACTTTCTGTCATGTCCCTATTAAAGTAGGGAATGCAGAATTGCAGGGCTGTTTGAGGGCTGCTTTCCACAGAGCAGTGTGTGGTTTTAAAACCACAAGCCGAGCAGCAGCTGGCAGTAGAAGCCCGGCTATGGCTCTGTAGCTGGAGCCACTGTATAAGACGTGGCTGGTAAAGTGTGCTCTGATGGCTGTTACGGGTAGAGGTCGAAGCAGCTAACAAAGCTGGAGCTTAACCTCAGCCCCTGACCTATCCTCTGTTTCTATCACCTCTAGACAAAAGAACAAAAGATAGTTTATTTGCTTCTCTTAAACTATTACAAAAACATAATAATAATAACTATACCACAGGAAATTGAGGTGTATTCTTTTTACCTATTGCATAAACAGCAGCAGCCCAAGGCACTGCCAAAATAAAGTCTTGTTTTGTGGGAGACAAAACTAGCAGCAGTGGATCAGCTCCTTTGGGTACCAGTTGTTGCAGCAAAGCTCTGATCCTCCAGTGAGTGCTCACTGAGCAGAGAAAATGATAGAAGCCTGGCTCTTCTAGAGCAAGCTTTTCCATGAGAAAAAACTCTGTCCTGCAATGACTCTGGAGTCCACTTGGTTTACTTTAAGCTTTAGAGAGTAAGAGGTTACTACTTCTTTATGTACACGTACAGAGATGGTTTTACCACTTTCCCTAAATTTGTAACGCTTCAAGCATTTCCTGTTGTGGGATGTGTGTCACTTAGAGTGGGAGTGGTGAATAATTGGAAAAAATTTCTCACAACATCCAAGGACATGGTGGGGCAAGAAAGGGCAGAACTGAAGTCTTCCCAATTAAGATCAGGAAAAAAAGTCTGATTTTCACCTGAATTGCAGGTGAGTTGCAGACAATTTTGTGGTTAGTGTTTTGTAGCCTGTCCTGCCAAAAATCTTCCTCTTCCTGTGAATAATGAGGCTAGAAAGGGAGAACAGCCAGTGTTTGGGAAACACAGCTATGAAAGACAGTGAAGAGAGGTGGAGTCCACATCTTGCAGCAGAATGCAAAAAAAAAAAGAAAGGGGGGAAAAAATGAAGAACCTGAACATATTGATTGTTACGTATAATTTGCTGTTGCTGTAACTGCAATGTAACAGGTACATGAGCTCATCTGACCCTGCTGTTTTTCCCTTTTTAGCATGTGGTTAACTTCTGTGAACCTGGTAAATTGATATTTTCTGTGTCAAAGTATTTGATTATCCTCTTCCTAGAAACCAATACTTATCGCACCCCTCTTTATGGGCAGCCCTCCTGGTGGGGGGAAGATGATGCAAATAACAAGGAAGACAGAAGGCAAGATGAACATTACTCAGGTAATGGAGGTGATTTGTGGTGGGAGAAGATGGGGGGGGGGGGGGGGAGAAATTTCTGCACACTTAATTTTTACTGTGTGAAGCCATCCTGGTTCAAGACTTTAATTGTCGCTTCTTTTGTGCTCATATTTGTACATTCCTACATGTAGACTGCTGCTGTTGAAACCAGAATAAGGGAAAATTAAAATGTTTCCCCTGAAATATTTGAACATTAGAAACAGCAGTTGTGGAATAATTCAATATGGAATTTTTTATTTTTTTTTTTTTTTTTTTTTTGTAGAAAGATCAAAAGAGGTAACCCAGCATGAAGAGGAACTGAATGGTAATATTTCTGCTTATAGAGATGCCCAAGAACAGTCTGTGTTTGCCTTCCGGAGAGAGCCAAGTTACTTTGAGATTCCAACTAAAGAATTTCAGCAGCCATCAAAATCTTCAGAAACACAGGTCCATGAGATCCCAACAAAGGATGTTGATGCTGTAGTAGCCCCTGTTGTACAGAGTCATGCCTCTTTCACCATTGAATTTGATGATGGTACCCCTGGTAAAATAAAGATAAAAGACCATGTAACTAAATTTTCACTCAGACAGAGAAGACCATATAGTAAGGAACCAGCTCATACAGAAGTGATGTCAGCGGAGAGCAAAGTGGCTGACTGGCTTGTCCAGAATGACCCAAGTTTGATGAGACGGCAGTCTCCAGGAGATGATGTGTACAGTACAAAGAGTGACCTCCCGGTTCATGTGAGGACACTTAAAGGTGAGTGAATGACTTGTCATGTGGACATAGTTCTGTTGGCTGTGCAAATGCAGCATAATAAAGGGGGAAAACCCTTCTCCTCTCAAGGAGAACTGGACTTAATTATCATTGCTCCAGATTTGCAAGATGAAGAATATTTCTTTAATGACTGTTAATGGTTTTGAATCTGGCTGGCAAGCTCTTCACCTGGCCCTGAAGTCATGTGTGATGCTGGCCTGTGGACACTCTAATCTGGTTCTTCTACATCTCTAAGGCCAGCTCAGGAGTAACAGTGATTGAAAAAAAGGATTTTGATTTTCAAATGTCTAAAATAATTTTCATGTGGTCAGGCAGGCTGGCCTTACACAAGTATTTCAGTGGATTTTCTTCTATTGGCTTCTCCTATCTGAAGGAATGACTCCTCTTTTTAGTTGTAGTCCAGAAGAGGCTAAGTGAGATCATCATGATGGCTGTAATGACCAGAGCCACTTGGTCGGATGACCAAAGGTCCTGACACAGAGACTGATGATAAGAGTTGAGATATGTATGGTCACCAGTGGTGAGAAGAAAGTAGAAGGTTTCTTCTCTTAAACTAAAGCTCCTGTGAAATCCTGCTCTGTTCAAAAACTTAAGGTTTCGTGGCCCTGTGCCCTGTTAAGTGTGTCACTGTGAGGAGTTCTTTGGGGATTTTCAAAGGTCTGGTGTAGTTTGGAGCCCAGTTCTTAGTGCAGCTGGTGGGTCTCACGTGATTCGCATGTGGCTTTGAATGTATTTTGCAAGATTTGGGCTTGCTTGGCTGTCTCTTTTGGGCCATGCATTGAGCAGCTTGGAGGAGACCACTGATTTCTGCATTCTTACTGCCTTGTAAACTACTGGAAATGCTATAATTTTGAACTGCAGCTTTAACTGATGAAGTCATATTGGAGGTTACCAGATGTACTTGTGCTTGAGATCCTTCTTAAATGAGAGCAATACCTTGTTTTCCCTTATAGGAGTATTTGCTTGGTCCTTGTTGGAAAAAACCTCCTTGTAATATGAAGAGTTTTACCTATTACACCTCCCACTCGCTGTTTTGTGTGCAGTTTTTAGAGAAGCCCCAATGGTCAAAAAGGTCTCACATACCCGGCCCTGAGCTTTGGCATGGCATGGAAATTGAGCTGTTTTGTTGTCACTGCTTGTTTCTAGTTCTTCCTAACAAGGGGCAGCATTGAGGTGCCCTGCCTGATTATTTACAGTCTTATTTTCAGTCTGCTGTGACTGTGTGATGGAAGGTTTGGGGGTTTGGGTATTTTTGTTATCGTCATACTGGATTTTGTATACTTGCTGTAGAACGCTGTCAGGGGTAGAAATGTGCTTCAGTAGTTTTGCTCTTTACTCTTGGAGAAAACTAGAGTTAGGCAGTTGCTGGTCATCACAGGATTTTCCTGAGCAATGCACAGGAATGCTAGACTGACTGTACTTGCCTATTTACAGTCCATAAGGCATGGAAAGAAGCTGAGGTAATTAAATGCATAATTTGCATATCAAGAAGTCAACTCTTCGGACATTTGATTAAAACATACAGTGTTGGTGGCCTGAGGAGTTTATTCACCTCTGTTTTGGCAGAGAACAGGGTGTCATTTATCTGCGATAGCTGTGTAACGTGTTCTTCTGGCAGGGCTAATTTTGAAGATGTCTTGGAGGCTACCACTGCCTGCCTACCAGATTTGGGTCTTCATGATCAGAGACACCCACCGTCAGGGCTCATTAGTAACATTTGTTCACTTTCAGGAACAGTGTCGTGAATGTAAAGCCTGGTACCAAGACTGGAGAGTTCAGGTCTTAGCAGCTTGAGGGGATGTGCATGATGTTCCGTTGGTGCATCCATGGGCACAGTGGGTGTTTTTCCTTTTGTCCTCACCGTTTTGCATTTGTCAGAGTTTGTAGACAAGACCCTTTAATTTAAGAACCTTCCCTTCCAAGGACGAAGCTTATCAGCCCTCAGGGCACAATGCAAAGTTTGCTGGCTTCTTTCATGAGGGTGTTAGGAAACTTCAGAGGACTGACTCCTGGGTTGAATGGATCTTGTATTAAATTCTAATCTTTCACAGCTAACTCAAGGTAATAAATGGTCTTCACCCATGTGTCTGGAGAACTTGTAAAGTAGGTTTGAGCAGTTTTCCTTTCAAACACGTGGTATTTTAGCCAGTATATCTTGCTGCATATTACAGTCTAGAGCGCAGAGACCTCTTTCCCCGTTCTCCCGATGACAGGTTCCTGGTCGTTGACTGAATCGTGTTGTGTGCCTTCACACCCGTTTCCTTCTCCAAAAAAAGGTTTGTTTTTTTGTTTTACTTTTAATTTTTTGTTTACTTTAATTTACTTTCTGAGAGTCCTGAACTAAGGTGCTGAGAGGCAGTCATCACTGATACATAGAAAAGGTTGTAAAGATGGTTGTTGCTAACATAAGTGGAAATAATTATAAACTTACTTTAAGCTTAGTGAACTCTTAAGTAATGATTTAAGCTTTGCTTGGCTGGTGATAGGATGGTGCAACTCATGGGGGTGTCATGGTGTGATTCTGGAATCTTCAGGAAAAGTGAAGAATCCTGCAAATTCACTTTTCTGTTAGCCTCTAGTTTATTTCCCCCTTGTAGAGGGGGGGTAATGTGGGTGCTCAGAGGTGTGTGCGCTCATAATGCACTGATCCGATTTTCATCGTGGGGATTTGGTTTCATGGGATGGAGTGTGCAAAGTTTATTTACTGATCCTGCAAAGGTATTTCTGCTCTGTAACAGAGAGAACCTAGTGAGGTGATCTTGGATTACAGTAATTGGGCAGAATGGCAAAGTAATGCCATCAATTTTATTTAAATGGAAAAAAAGAAACAAAATACTAGGTGTCTAAACCAATCAGTGTTACAAAATCAGAAACCCTTGGGGCTGAAATGATTTCTTGAACTGTTTTTTAATAACCTGATAGCCAACCAGTTGCAAAAAGTGGGGTCAGGAGAGAGCTGCCTCTCTTATTTCCTACAATGGGATGCAGTCCCTGTACTGCAGCAGATGTCTTTGGAGTTTTTTAATCCTGTAGGATTTTTTTCTTTTAACTGAAATGATAAATTTCAACTGGAAGGTATTGACAGGGCCACAGCAACTGGGAATATGAAAGTCAAATCTACATACCTTGTTTCCAGGCAATAGGCACGAGGACGGGACGCAGAGTGACTCTGAAGACCCCGTGGCGCCCAAGGCAGAGAAGGAGACGACAACAGGCAGCGAACGTGCGACAGAGCAAACCAGGCTGCAGCGCCAGATGAGGCGTGATCCCCATGAGATGCTGCACAACAAGCAGGCCTTTGTCATCGAGTTCTTTGAGGACACACCGCGGAAGAAACGGTCACAGTCTTTCACACACAGCGCTCACTCCTCCCAGAGCGACACTGATCCGGGGCTGAAGACCAAGGTTGAAAAGCGCAAGAACGCGTTGCCGGCGGAGAAGCTGGGAAATGCAGCACCACCATCTCACCTTGGGGCCCAGGCAGGCAAACCCGGTAACAGCTCCTCTGGGACCCAAAGAACTAGCTCCTTCAAGAGGGAGAAGACAGAGGATCGGATCAACTCTTCATCCTCCTCTGCTTCCAGAGCATCAGCCAAAACTTACGGGAGTGTTGGAAGGAAGTCAAAGATAGCTCAGGATTTTATGGCTGAGTACTTGCGGGAGACTGCTCAGTCTGGGAAGTCAAATGCTGAGAAACCGGCACCTCTGCCCATGCCAGTAGCTCCACGCGTGGTTATATCGTCAGAACCGGAGTCTGCCTCTGCTCCACCTCCAGAGGTAAAGTCGGCCCAGGGCAGGAGGAATGATGAGGAAGACAGTGTAAGCGAGACAGGCACATACACCATTGAAACGGAGTCACAGGATAAAGAGGTGGAGGAAGCGCGAAAAATGATAGATCAGGTAAATGCTGCCTCTCTGTGCTTGGCCAGTGGGCTGAGGGCTGAAGGCTTGGGCTTCTGCACCTTGTGCTGGAAGGCCTAACTTCATTAGCTGTTGCTGTGAAGGACTGCTCCCTTCTGAATTTGGTGCGGCAGGGGCTTATGGTTAGGAATGGGAAGTCATCCTGGATGACCTGTGTTAAGGATAGGCCCCAACAAACGGTGAAGCTGGTCTTCAAAAATCTCCCAACAGCATTACAAACAAACCACAGAGTGCAAGAAGGCAAGGTAAGCCCACAGCAAAGAGCTGCCTTGCCTCCAAAATGGAATTTGGATGCAAAAGTGCAAGAGTGGACTTGCCATCTGTTTAGGGGAAAGGCAATAGCAGAATAAAGATCAGGCTGATCCTGCTGAGAGCTGTGGCTGGGAGCAGCTCTGCTCTCTAGGGCTGCTTCCCAGCCTCTACCTTGGCATTGCATTGCCTCCTGCCCACTGTTGTGAAGACAGGAGCTGCAGCCAATCACTGCTGCAGCATCCCATGGTAGACCAAAGGAAATGCAGGCCGAGGGCTGGTGCTCTTGATCCTTCACAAGCCTTAGTGGTAGGTGGTTCTATATTTGACTATGCCTGGTTAAGAAGGGAGTGCTTGCTGGCAGGGCAAGTGGCACCTAGTTGAGATAGCAAAGGGAGTGGTCTAGGGCAGAGGCAAGAGGCAATCCTAGATGGATCTATACTTGTTTGGATTTTGCAAAGTGAAGGATAGCCTAAAAACAAAACCCCAGCGATGAGGCAGAGTTTTTGAAAAAACCCACCCAACTGAGCAACTGCAGAGCAACCCAAAGTTTGGCTGATTTTCAAGTTTAGCTTTCATCTCTGGTCTATTACAAAAACAAAGCTGGCAAGTTGCTGTGAAGATTTAGTGAAGTGTAGGCAGGAAGATGGTGAGGTTTAAAGGAAGCCTTAATTGAACTTAGCTTTAAAACTTTGTATACAGTGTTCTGTCAGCCTGGATCTAGCCTTCCCTCTTTATTACATTTGTTCCTTACATCTTGTTTGAAATGTGATTGGAAGCTTTTGGGGCAGGGTATTTAAGCCACAGCAAGGCCCTAGTCCAGACATTAGATAGTTAATTGTTCTGGTGAGAAAATATGAGGAAAAATGTCACAAAAATACAATTATTTCTGGGGTGTAGTCTTGGCAGCCTTGTGACTCGGACAGGCAGGCCTGGCCAAGTTCTGCTCCTGGATGCCATAGACTTGGTGCGGTGCAGACCTGCCACTTGGGAAACAACTAATAACTGGACCTCAGTGTTTCTGTCCAGGAAGAAACATGATATGAATTCTGGACTGGCTGAGGTTTTGAGGTGACTCTCCTTTTTGTTCCCCCACCATTGCACTCACACACTTTTTTTTTTTAGTAGAAGTGAGAGTGGAGAACTTCATGGCTATATCTTCCCAGCCTAGGCACATTCTATGGTGGCATCTTCCTCTAAACTACTTCTACTCAGGGAAGAGAAACAAGCCCTCCTGAGGCCTGGATCTTGGTTACCCCCCTAGAAAGGCCTGTTTATCTCCAACAGGAATCTGGCCAACTAGCTCAAACACCCATCTCAGAGGTGTATCCTTTCCTAGGTCCTCAAGTGGCAATGCAAGGCTGCTTTGCTCAGCCTACTGTTAGCTGCAGTCTATGAAAGACCGTGGAGATGGAGCTTTCCCATTTTTTTTTCTAATTCTCCGTGTATGAGCTGGTAAATAGCTTTCCTGACACTCATCCTAAATTTCTCAGGGCTGAGAAGGGACTCCTTTTCAGTGAAAGTTACTACTGTTAAAGGCAACACCCCAAAATAATGAAGGAGAGAGGAAAGGTGGGCGTGAGTGGGATTCTATGAATAAGTATATTTAAAGCTGGTGCTGCAGAGTACAGAAGAAAATTATTTACATAGTTTGTATAGAACTGTTGACAAGTGTTTTTGGCCCTTTGGGATCATAGTCTGTGTGTGACTAATGCTTTGTGGATTTGGATTTTGGGCTAATGTTTTTCTATTTTCCTGTTTTTTAATCTTTTCCATGCAAACACCTTTTCAGGTTTTTGGTGTTCTTGAGTCGCCGGAATTTTCCAGAATCTCTTCAGCCTTTAGACCGATAATTAAAGGTGAAAAAGATGACTCCGGTTCTCATCAGCATCTAATCAGTGAGAATGGCACTAGCCAGAAGTCACCCTTGCTCCAGGCATTTGCCTCAAAAGCTGTGAGTGGGTCTCAGGCTGATGTGCAGGTACGGGCAGTCCAGGTGGATTCGCTGGGATGGTGGAGGAGTAGATGGGTTTTCTGTCTGGAGAGAAATGTGAAGCGTAGATTGATTTCCATTTTGAGGAGTCTGAGTGATGTGTGTATGAGAGGAGAGGTTTCTGTGGCTTGGAATTGGTTTACAAACCCTCTTTCTGACACCACCTTCCCCACCTTGTTGTAGATGTCTGCAGCATCTCAAGGGAGTCAGAAGTGGGTGTCTAGGTGGGCAAGCCTTGCGGACAGTTACTCTGACTCTGGATCTGTCTCTGGGCAGGGTGATGGAAGTGCAGGTAAGTCTCATCCTGACATTACTGTTTGAAGGTGGCTGAATCTAAGCCAGGATGATATGAAGAGTGGAAATTAAAGGCTTCCATGCGTCTCGCTGTGGCTTAGTTTCTGTTTTAGCTAATGTATGTGAGGATGGGAAGGACAGAGTGAATTGTTCCCAGTGTAGTAAAGATGGAGAGCACCTCTGGTTTGCATTTTAGAATCATCCAAGAAGTTCTTAAATGTTTGATGTAACTAAAGGGCACCTGGGGATGAGAAAGATTGTAAGGGCCTTGGGTGTTAACTGGCCCCGAGTGGTGATGCTTTAGACTGTCTTATATGATGCTAGATGAAAGCCCTTTGCAAGTTGCCGTAGACTTAGTTGCTGACTTGTGCTTTTTTTGTGTGCTTCTCCTGTGGCTGACCGTGCTGAGAATTTTAGGCTGTTCTGGGGTTTGCTGTTGGGTGGCAGGTTTGAAGTGTGGACATCACCGTAGGAAACTGGATGTGGCAGGGAGAAGGGGAGTGGGAGGAGATCAGGCTCCTGTTGTAACAGCTTACAGACCCTGTGGTCCTGTCGGTACGTGAGAAATGGAGAAGAGTGCTTTGTTGGCTTTAGTAAACATTTCAGATTTTTTTTGTTGGAAATATTTGTCGTTAACTTCTTGCCATCAACAGCTAAAGATAGACTCGGTGAAGATTAGAAGAAACCTTTGTTTCAGAGGTCACTGCCACTGTTTTCACTGTGCGAGAACCTGACTTCTGGATTGTTTGAAATATTACCATAGTCAAATAACCAGTTATCCTGGTGTTTAAAGGCAGTATCAGATATGAAGGCCTGGCCAGCAGCATGGGAGAAATAAGAGCGCTCTTGTTATGAAGTGTGACCATACTGTTAAGCCTACCCATACTGGGGGCAGTGAGTTCTAATTCAGAGCCCCTTGACTGTTACAGGATCTTTCTCCTGAGACTTTGCTGCGGGATATGATCGTATGAGAACTTGTACTGTGAAAAACACCATCCATTTAGTCAAATGGGCTATGTTGTGTAGAATGGCTCTTAAAACACTGCATCACTGCAGTGGTTTGTCTGGTGGCTTTTCATCTCATTCCTGTGGCCTGACTTATGGTAGATGCCAGCAATGCCATTAGCCTGTAAAGTATGTGCTTGTACTGCGAGGTATATTACGGAAGAATGAATGTGAAATCCTACCTTGAGAGAGGGAAACTGTTAAGCACTGTGATCCAGCAAAGGAATTAAGAATAGTGTCAGTATTGATAAACCTGATGGAGCAAGCATGAACCAGGCCCTGTTGAAGTTCATATTACATAAAAGCTTAGTTCTAAGCATGTGTCTTATGAGTGTTTATGTGGACCTGTGCTTTGCAGGACCAAGCTCTTCCTAAATAAATAAATAAATAAGTGGTATAGTTCTACAACATTTGATTCTTGTCCACTTAACTCTCTTCAGAAAGTGGTGTAGCCCCAAAACCAGGGGAACCAGAAAATGCTGTGCCCTTGAGAACAAGGCGCCTTCTTCCTCAACTCCCACCAAGCGATAAATCAGACAGCCCCACACCCACGGTCCTGGTTTGCCAGGAGTCATATTCTGAGGTTACCAAGAGAACCATCGTGAAGGACCACTGCATGGAAGCCTATGGTGATCCCAGCAGCCACCTCTTCATCCAAGAAGATTTGGATCCAGATAGCCTCAGCGATGCCAGCAGATCCGATGATGGCTTCAGCACGGAACAAGGCAAGAAATATAAAGAGAACAATAAAATGCTAGAGCAGATGGGGGAAGACACACGATCAGAGAGCCGGCAGCCAGGAGCCTCCCGGGTCTCAAACGTGAGAGCTGTAAGTGAGCCAGTTCCTACTTCGTTCTACATTGGTGATGACAGCAGCGATGCGGGGGTTCCCTCCAAGCTCTCTCTGAGCGTGTCTCATGCTCGAGCAGACAAAGATGGCAAGGATCAAGAGTTCTCCTTCAAGTCTGCTGGCACACCAGTTCCTGGAAAACCACCGGTCAAAGATGTTAGCGCTTACATAAATGCATCTGGAAAAGTGGTTATTTCCCTTCATCAGAGTCTTCCTCAAGATCAAGAAAACATGGCAGGAAAGGAAACGTCATCTTTTGTTAGGCAGGAAAGTTTTACCAAAGATAAATCAAGCAGTGGCGTTCCTCAGAATAAACTCCCACATATTTCAAGTCACCCTCTGCTTAAAGATTTAGAGGCTGTTCGGTCAACTCGTATGGACTTTGGTCAGGAGACTCATCTTCTCCTTAAGGACACTGAAACTGCCTTGGCAGCACTGGAAGCCAAATTACTTGGTCAAAGCCAACAGTTGGAGCCCTTGGAAACTGCTGGTCAGCTGGAGGACTCCTTGTCAGGGGACTCAGATGTGGACACTGCCAGCACGGTCAGCTTGGTAAGCGGCAAAAACGTCCCAACAAGCGCCCCGAAACGCAAAGCGGTCGCGAGCTTGCAGAAGGAGAAATCTTCCTCCACGCCGTCCATCCAGGACCAGGGCGGGCAGCCCAGCGCTCGGGACAGGCTGACGGAGAAGCGGAAGACGCAAGCACCAGAGGCAGCAAACCGCGCGGAGGCTGCCAAACGCTTCCAGATGAAGCGGAGCGCTGGGACTCGAGGGTCGCTGGACTTCACGGATGACGAGAGAAGCTCGAGCTTGCCCTACTTGCCAGTCCCCGATGCGGTCGTGTCTGACCACGAGCACTCAGTCACCCGGCCGGTCCCCAGAAGGAAACCTTTTACTCAGGCCACCAAGGAGGACCACAGCAAAACGACATCGAATGTGCAGAAAATTCAGCAAGTTCTCACCCGCTCCAACAGTTTATCCACCCCACGGCCCACAAGGGCCTCAAAGCTACGTCGTGCCCGGCTGGGAGATGCTTCAGACAACGAATGTGTTGATACGGAGAAAACACCTGCCAACCCTGAAGCCACCGCTCCGGGCCCGAAGCAGTCTGCGGAGACAAAGAAGCTCTCCCGGCTGGACATCCTGGCCATGCCAAGGAAACGGGCGGGTTCGTTCACGGTGCCCAGCGACTCTGAGACGGCGCAGTCGAGGACGGGGTTTTCAGGCCGGAGTGTGGAGTCCTATCGGAAGGCGGGTGTTGCAGAGGTCAGAGCTGCGGCGAGAAAAACAGCAGCCGCTGCCTCCGTGAAGCAGCCTTTCAGCAGGACCCGTTCAAGCAGTGTCAAGTATTCCTCCTCATCCAGTAAGTGCTCGTGCTTTGTGCTTCTCCTGTATTCCCCTCTGTCTGATTTAGAAGCTGCACATGGTTGCCAACGGTTGGTATCTTAGTAATACGAGTGCTGCATCGGTAAGTACAAAAGTTTGCATTAATGGGTGGTTACGGAGGTTGAGATTTCCTGTGGGTTGGGAGACAGCAGAGCATCTCGTACCCAGTGAGATATTATCGTGGTGTTGTCTGTTGAGGATGTTGCAAATAGCTATTTTTCTTTTTCACTTTTTTTTTTTTTTTTTCTCCCCAGTGGCTTTGTTTTTTGAACAACCAGTTGCCATTTGACAGGAGCATATCAGTCATTTTTCTGTAAAAAAGGTAGAATATAATGCCTTTCCAGTGCTATAAAGAATTCTGTTCTGTTTACCTTTGACTTCTGAGATTCAAAGTTTGCTCCCAGAGAGTTTATAACGGTGTTGATGACAGCTCATGTTCAAGGAGGCAGGTTTGAAGGCATCTGAAACAGGAGAACAAGAAATAAATGACCATGTGTTATGAAGGCTGTTCCCTTGTTCTCCCTGTAAAAGCAAATGTGGAGCTGGACACTGCATGTTGATTGTCCCAAGAGATTCCCACTACTGTGTGTTTTCATTCACTTTTGCCATAGGTAAGGCAGGTTCACAGTTGTGTTTCCCATGGGGCAGAGATTTGAGGGCTATCTTGCCCTGTAGCTGTGTACTCATCAGACCCCTGCAATAGCAACATTTGTCTTACTGAAATCAGTCTTTAATTAAGTGGGGACAATGGAGGTGACAACTCTAAGATTGTAATTGGTAATCAGAGATTATCCCTGACACCTTTGGTCTAAATCCTGGTCTGCCTGTAGTCCTTGACCGACCATGGATGTGGCAAAGCAGACCTGTCTGCTTAGGTTTTGGGGATTGACGGGGGAGGCCAAAGGGGCAGGAAGAATCCCTTTGGATGGGTTTCTCAGGCCTGTTGAGAGGGACACTATTTTCAGCAGATCTGTTAGGGGGTCTTAGAGTTCTGGATGTCTCCTTTTTGTGTATTTTCTTACAGTTGAAATAATTATCTTTCTTGCAGTATTCATTTTTATTGCACGCTAAAAAAGTTATTTGCTGCTTGTTTTGATTTGGATTGTTTTAGTGCATCCAGCTTCTCTTTTAATGTAATGGTTTTTTTTTCTTACACATTTGCATATGCGTGTAAATCAGAATGTGAATAAGCTAAAAGAATATGTACGAGTCTCTTCTCTTGCCTTTTTCGAGATGATGCTATTATTGACTTCTTGTTAAACAATAACAAATTAAAAATAAACAAATTTTCATAATTTCATTTATTAAAATAATGTGGTCGGAGTTTTCTGAACAGGAGGCTTTCTGCACTCCCTCTGCCTTTGGACCTCAGACTTCAAATCATTTGGAGAAAAATGATAAGCATTGGCCAGTTCTTGGTTTAAATGAATTGGTTTTTGATTTCCAGAGCTCTGTAGCAGCTTGCTAACACCCTTCCATGTGCATAGTCGCAGCAGTTGATGCTAATCCTTTCTCCAAATTAGTTGCTCTTAAAATACTAACCTCCTAATTCCTTGATAGGATTGTGGACCTTGCACAAGCTCTAGGTATACTAGTGTACTTCACGCTTCATTGTGCTGTACCAAGTGTGTGATGCATGTTCCTATACTAATGCTGTTATATAGTGAATCAACACCTAGCGCCCCGTTCCTGGAACAAAAGTGAGACGTCGATAAGCTAAACTATTGCACTGTGCCATCAAGACATTTTTTAGCATGATACAATAACCCTTGAAAGCATTGAGTGTCAAACCTTGGGAATAGCAAAGCAGATGTGACTGATTTTATTCAAGGATTTCTTAAAGCCTGTAGCTAACCACAATAGTTTCAACTTCTCCCAGTGCGAGAAAGTTAATCTCGCTAACAGAGGAACAGAATGAACTATCTGGTCATGAGACAAGAAATGCCAGTAAATTGTTGGGCCACTCAGAGTAACTTTACATGAAATACACAGGTAACATCAGAGTAACCAAGTTATCCATTCTGAAAGCTAAGGGCCTGTCTCCCCTGCTCCTCTGTGTACACAATTTATTTACTCAGTGTAATTTGAATGGTACTGAGGGAGTTGATTCTTATTTTCCTTGGCGTAGAGGGATGGAAAACCAGGATCTTCATTATAAAATTGCTGCTCAGTGACAGGGTGGCCTCTTCATTCTAAATCTGTGTTTAAAAAAAAAAAACAAAAAACATATCTTTACTGGTGGAATATGATCAATTTTTTTTTTTTTCTGTGCATATATATTTTTTAATCCTAAAACAAGGCATTTATTTAGCTATAGCTGAGATAGCAATGTCTAGGAATGCTTTTTTCACTATACAGTAATTATCTATAGTTTCTACCTGCAACTTATATGCCAAATTTGTTATTTTTGTTTGTATGATCTATGATGCTGGTTTAATTCGTTTGCAATGTTTCAGTGTTATGGTAATCCTGGTAACACAGTGAAGCTTAGAGGTGTTGTAATTTTAAATAACTTGGCTGGTTCTGTGTTCGGTGGGTCTTCATTCTCCAGGGAAGGACAGAAGGGAGTGAAGTGGTATCCATGGGGAGTGTAGTGAGGCAGTGAACGCCGGGAGCCCAGTTGTCAAATAAGGACATCTCAGTGCTTCCCATGCAAGGAGGACCTGAGCATCTGCAGAGCAGGTTGGGACAAGTGGGCAGCTTCCACTTGGCTCCAGGGTTGGAGCTGGTCCTGACTGTGTGAACACTCTTTTTTATAGAGGGTCATTGATGGTGAATTGCGAGGCAGAGGTGAACGTGGTGGTGTGGACTCTTGCAAGTAACCCCAAGCACCATAGTCTGTTCTTCACTCAAAACCCCCCTCCTTTTATTTGTACTTGCAGCTAATTGGAAAGGTGTCTGCAGGCTTGAAAGTTGGGCTCTTTTTAGCAAAGGACTTCTGTGGGACTATGAGGAGTCTGAAATGTGTGCTACTTATACAGAGCTTCTGTGCATGGAAATCCGAGTCTGTGGTAATAATTTACTACGTTGGAGTTGTTAACACAGTCATTTTGCCTTTCCACTGGAATTTCCCACTCCAAATTTGTATAGTGAATGGGAGCCATAGAAGTGCTCAACTTTGAAATAAGCTCTGAGAATGTGCTGTTTAACTTAAAATCTGCACAGAAACTCTCCTCTCCTTGTGCTCTTGGGCTAGTTTTGTGTTACCTTTTTGCCCTTTTGTATTCTTTACTACTTTCCTTGGTCTGAAACCAATTCATTTTTTATAAGCATCAAGGCGGAGACCACAGGGTTCAGATTACACTTCTACTTCGGAGGAGGAATATGGCTCAAATCACAGCTCCCCTAAACACAAACGCTCCCATACTTCAACAGCCACACAAACACCGAGGCTACGTGGCTCCGGGCTGAGCAAGCAGAAGCACAACGGCAGAGAAACAGATGATGATGAAGATTTTGATGACCACCCTGACCCCTACAACTTCATGGCGCAAACAGCAGAGATAGCAGAAATAGCCAGGTGAGGTGGGGCTTTATGCATTGATCCACAAGTTAAAAATGGGTTGAGTTTTCCTTGGTGTTAAAATCAAACCCAGATACGGAGGTAGAAGGAGAGGCATTGTCTCCTGTTGTCTGTGTGCCTCCCATCTTCTTCATATCTGAATATCAACTTGTTCAGATTTGTTTTTTTGTGAAGCTTTACAGCCTGTGCTAGGATGTGCTGGTTGTACCCTCTCTCTAAAATGCCAAGGTGCAGGGCATTGTATCTTGGTTTGCTTCTTGTTCAAGCTGTGGACAGGTCTCCTCTTGTAGCTGTCAAAATATGTTACTGTCTATACCTGCTTATCTCTGCTTTCTTGTGGAAGTCACCAGGTGTGCATGGAGCAATTGGTGTGAACTGTTCCAATTCTCTGCAGAGGAAGTCAAATGGATTAGCAAGGACTGAATATGTAAACTGTTGAAGCTGCTTTGCCTGAAGCTGGCGAAGGAGCAGTAAACAGTTGCTGTGGGGCAGAAACCTCTTTGCTTGGTGCAATTGAATCCAGATCTGTCTAGCCCCTGTGTGTAAATAAATCATTGCTTAGCTTGGTGCCCCTGGATACGAGACCTGTTGTATACTGGTGGTCTGATGGTTGCCTGGAGGACCTCGGCCCTAAAGCAAATAGATTCTTCTTTTAAACGATGGCATTTGAGGTTTGACATCTCTAATATGCAACTGTGTTATGCCAACTTTCCAGAAATACTCGTCTTCCATTGTGCTGGCCATACTTGAAATACTTTTGACTGAGGAAGCTGTCTTCTGTCTGCTTTTGGTCGGCGTTTCCACGTCACCCCTATCGCTTACCACGCTGATCTCGAAAGGGCTTTTCTTGCACGAACATCGCTGTCAGGCTGCTAGAAAGTGTGTCAGCCTTCAACCCAGGCTGCGTTACCTGTGCCGCACGCGGTGTGCGTGTGGGAGGCGCTGGCGTCCCTCCCTTCCGAGCACGGGAGAGCGCTTCGGGTTGCAGCAGCTATAAATAAATGGTTGCGTCAGACTCGTCTGGCACTGCACATTGCTGGGCTCGTCACAGAGTCTGCTTCATAATTGCAGTTCTGATTTCCGTTGCTGCTCCCAAATTAACTGGGAGGGCTTTAGAGGAGTCAGAGAGAGTTAAAAGGGAAAATGCCACTTGTTTACAGTAAGTGAATCACATAATGGATATGTTCAGTGACAGCTCTATCCAAACCAGCGCGGATAGGGGGCACCTTAGGCAGGCAGATCAAACTACTTTTTACTAGTTCAATTATGCATTTTCTTTCCGAGGAAATGTTTTGATGAACTGACAGTTTTATTACATTGCTTGGTTTTTCGAATTAAAGAAGAAAGCGTCTTTCAGATGAAGCTAGCTAGCTGGAAGATTAATTTTTTTTCTTAGAAGCTTTTCTTTAAAATTACCACAACAGCTACTTTTGGTCTGAAGGTTTGGGTTTTTTTTTAAAGCTCAGCTAGTAACAATTCAGAGACTTAGGGACTGGTTTTGAGATCTAGAGCAGAGTGCTGCAGCCACTGACCGTTAGCTGGATATCTGTCAAGGGGTTTGAAGTTTCAAGGTTTGGTTTCTGAAAACCAGATCCCGCTAAAGTATGCTGCGCTAACCCTGGTAATCCCTCAGCCCTTCTGGAGAATGTGGAGGCATACTTTGATTTGCAGTCTGTAAATCACAAAGAAGAAGGAAGGAGAGTTTGAAATTTTATTATTTCAATAATAAAGAAGAAAGCTTTTCCTCATATGGGATTTTTAAGGGAAATGAAAGAAGTCTCAAGAAGAAAAAGTGGCTGTGTTGTTAAATAAAAAAAGGAAGTAGAGTGGATGGGTGGGGGAGCATTAATGTGATGCTTCTTTACGGATTTTCTCCAATACTTTCTGGTACCATGTAGTCACTAGAATTTGATTTTTATCAAATGTCTACTTTGAAGTTGGGTTCAGGAGGGGAGTGGATTTATTTTGTTCTTCTTGTTTGCAGCCAGAGTATTCCTCAGCACCCTGACAAGGCACCCCCCAAAAAACCTGTTTTCCCTAGCCTCTGCAGGGGTTATAATTCATACAAACTTTTGGTGGCTGCTCCTTTTATATTTTATGAGTATGAACCTTGTTGTATCATGTGTCCTAATGGCTCTGCTGCGTGCCCTGTGCTTCAGACTCAGCCAGACCCTGGTGAAGGATGTGGCCATCCTTGCTCGAGAGATTCACGATGTTGCTGGAGATGGGGACTCACAGAGTTCGTCGGGGACGGGACAGAGCGCCTCCCTCAGCTCTGTGCCCAACACTCCTGCTTCCACCATATCAGCGAGAGAAGAGGTAAGATCCAGAATGACAGAAATCTCTGCCTCTGAATGCGATCAAGTACGTGGGTACAGTTACGGTAGGAGACCAGGGCAGCATCCCCAGTTGTTGCAACATTAAAAAACCCTCACCTCCTGCCCCCCCTAAAAAAACACCAGCAGAAAGAATGACTGCGGTCTGTTTAGGGTGCTCTTTATATAGCCCTGCCCTGTGCCACAGCCAGCCTTGAAAGAGGTGGGAGTAGGCTGAATAGAAGAGCTGTATTGGATCTGGGCACGTTTGGCCCCAGTAAAAGGGAACACCCTTACTGTGCCTCCAGGAAGCAGGAGGCCCCTAGTGTCAAAAATGTTAGATTCCTCATACTATTTCCTTGAGGATCTCATGGCCTTTAGTCAGACTTTGGTCGCTGAAATTTGCACCTGAGGAACAGGATGGGGTTGGGGGTGTGCTGTGCTGCCATACCAGGGAGCCTGACCCTCCCTTTTGGTTCAGACAAGGCACTGACTGCCTGCTCTGGCTGCAGGCTCTGCATCTGCTCTGTGTTTTGTACCTCTGCTGTGTCCTTTCTGCCGGGCCATTGAAATAATGTGCAGGTGTCTGTTGAATCTCTTCCCTCCACCTGTGTATTGATGGGCAAGGGCAGGGACTCAGTTCTCCAGCCAGTGGGGTGGGCAATGAGGAAGGCAGTTAGCTCGAGAAGTGCTGTCCTCCAGCTCTTCACTGAAGCTGTGGCTTGCTCACGAACTGTGTAACCCAGTTTGCCTGCACTGGAGTGGGGAGGAGAGAGGTGATTTCTTAATTTGGCTCACCAGTGCTGCAGCACAGGGATTCAGCTCAGCTCAAACTTGGCTGCAAGGTCACCAGGAGGCTCCAGCTGCTTAAAGCAACATTGCCGTTGCTGCTGTTTAAATTCATATTCCCTCCTGTCTACCACTGGCCTGGGCTTAAAAAAACCACACAGCTCTCTATCTGCTGCTCAGATGGGCCTCTTGGCCTCCTGTTGTCTTTGTCTATTGCAAGAATTGCAGCCCTGTCCTAAGCAAGGTTTGAAGCCAAGGACCAAACTTGTTGCCCTGTCAGCAGAGTACTTGGAGGCCCTGTCACCCTTCTGTGTTCATCACAGCAGCGAAGGTGCAAAGCAGAAATTTAGGGAGATACCCAGAAAATCAGGCGAGTGTGGCTGTGCTTGTGTTAAGCCAAGGTCAGCTGTAGCCTGCTCAGGGACGTTTTTTTTTTTTCCTTGGGCCGTTTGTAGCCTCAGTGCACAAATATTTCACAATAACTTCAGGCTCTGAGATAAAGTGTTTTATTGCTTTGTTGCCATGCAAGTGCCACACCCGCAAAACTGCCTTTTGTAGTATTATTTTTGAGCAGTTAAGGTGGCAAATCTACTTTACTTGTGACTTGCACATGAAACGTTTGCTTCAGGTTGGTAATGACCAGCACTCAGAACCAGCTTCCTTCCGGAGAAGCTGCGTTGGTGCAGCCATAAGTCAGGGTATACAGAGGAATGTTCCCTGCTGCTATAGAGGAGGAAAGACCCCTGCAAAAGACCATGTTTCTACTCCGTGCAAAATGATGGGCTCCAAAGTAGTGATGCTGAATGGCTTGCTAGGGTTGCTCAGACGCAGGTGAACTGAAGGTTTCTCTGCCATGCGGCTCTTTGCTGCTGTGCATGGTGTGGGACGTGCCAGTCAGCCCCCTCAAAATAGTCTGGAGAGCCAGCGTAGGGCTGTGTCACACTCGAGGTAATGCTTCTGGCAGTGCCTACTGCTAGAGCAGTTTTTTAGATCTTAACAGTGGGGTAAATGAAGAAGCACTTGTAGGAGCCTGTGAAGACAGATCAGGAGCCATAACCTTTGGTATGTTCAGCCAGTGGTGGCTGAAACCACCATAAGGGCTTTTAACTTGACTTGATCCAAATAGGGTTGGATAGCACTGGGATTTCAGCAGGGCCAGTGGCTGCGAGGCCATTTCAGTTACACCCCAAACGCCAGTGTGCATCAGTGGAGCTGCCCTTGCGTTAGCCATAGCCAGGAACAGGTTAAACCAGTGGGAATTTCTACTTGCGACGCTGAAATGTAGAGCTGAATCCTGAATAGCTTGGGATCCTGAACTGTGCGTCTTGGGGGTCACGTTATGAATGAGAGTAATATAAACTGCTGTGGGTTTAATAAACACACATCACATCTTTGGAACCAGACTAGAATCAGTGGACACACTTCCTCCAGTCTGGGTGCTGCTGAATCTGTACTGAAATAATTATTTTGACTTAATGCAGGGAAGTTGCTAGGAAATATATGAAGATCAGTGTGTGTTTGATGGTAAACACTGAATTTTATGAGTGTTTATTAAACACCTTTGTATTAAATATTCTAGGAAAGGACATAGTGATGAGAATTAGCTAATATAGTAATGTATTGAAATATCTCATAAAAGGAAATAAGTGAATAAGAAATGTTTGCTTTGTGTGACTTTCTCTTATACTACTCTGGCTCTTGCAGTGTTGTATGCCATTCTGCTAGCTCTTGATTTTCTACTGCTAAATATTTATACCTATTCTAATAAAGTGAGGGGAAAATGCAGGAAAAATAAGTTCTGATTCTGGAATCACTTTTGAGTGTTTAATGTCATACTAGAAGCTTCACATTGTACCAGTGTGTGGCACAACATTTCTCAACCTCAAATGAACTGCTTTTTAAATTACTTTTATTATGAAGCTTGGTTAAAGATTAAAATAATGAGTGTTCTCTTAAAGGTTAAGATGGAGCCTTAGATTTAAATCTTACTCTTAATGTTCTGTCCTTTCAGGTCCAGTGTTTGCTTAGATGTTTGCCAGGGAGGTTTTCAGTTCCATAGTGAGTTTTTGAGGTGTTTTTGTTTGGTTTTGTTGCTCTCACTGTATTATGATAGCCTGGATTCCTGACATACTCAACTGAGTACAGCTACAAGTCAAGCAAAAAAAACCCAAACAAACAAACAAACAAAAAGGGTCCATTGAGGGTGAAACCTTCATGATTTCTGTTTACTAAAGCCATGGTTTGTTTGGGATGCTTTGGGTTGTGGGTGTGCAGGTTTTACAGGACCCAGCTTTCTGCAGAGCCAAGCAGTCAGACTGCTCTGCAAACATAGTTGCGTGGGTCATCCCAAGTCACTGGCCACTTCTGAAAATTCTAGCCTTGCATGAAATTCTTTTGGTTGGTCTTTTTTTTAAAAGTTGAGAATGATATAGCAGAAACCTAGGAGCCCTGTCACGTTTCTTAAGTTGTTGTTTGACATATTCAGTATGAATGTTGTTATGGCAAGAGGAAATGCTTACGGGTGTGACAGAGCAGAAAGCATGAGAAGAGACCATTTCACATATGAAAATCTCCTGGTGTTGGGGGAGCAGATGCTGTCCTTACCGTGTTTTCAGCTGCTTGTGCCGAGAACTGCTGGACTGTAGGAGTATCTCATTCCCTTCTGACGCTGTTTCACCACTGCAAGCAGCCTAACTTACTGTTTCGGCACTTCACAAAAGGATGCTTAAAAAAAAGCAGCTTATTAGCTAAACATTTTGGCTGTGGTGCCCATGTGCCATAATACCTCATACCTTCTGCCTGTGTATAACCCAGGAACTATTGCATAGAGTATGGGGAGCCTGGACCTTGGATGGCACATGGTTTCCTCACAAGGGCTGTGTGCTTTGCCAACCGAAGAGCTTCCTGGGCTATATGTTTAGCCCATTCTCTGTGCTTGGAGGGCTGCTGGATTTCACACAGCACAGTCTGTTTCGAAGTAACTGGGGAGCTGCCTGAGACTGCCTCTGCAGAACTGGTTGGTGACCAGGGCCCCCACGGGCTTCAGTGCATGCGGGAGGTGGGCATCAGGAATGCGCTTTTGGGAATGTCAACCCAAAATAACCCCAAACCATGTGTTCTCTTGATACTTGCTGTCACAGTCATTCACTAGCGTTGATCTCTTTGTTTCTGTTTTAACACAGATTGCTCGTAGATCTTTTCGGCTGGCATATCCATCTCAGGTGCACTTTCCATCCCATTATTTTTGTATCTCTGTCTCGTCACAGTTATTTTCCTCCCCTTCCTTCAGAGTTTTTGTCTGTCAGTCAACCGAACAGGGGTAGCTGTCTTGTCGTTTCTGTTCTTCCTGTTAATTATTTGCATTGTCAGTGGGTTTGTATTGCTTTTTCATCCCTTCCATGTGTTACTAGGTGGTTTCCGATTAATTTTAGTATGACTTTGATGGTGCATTGGTATATTAAAACATAAGATATGGGGAAATAGGGCCTTTTTGAGTTTTAGCTAAATTCAAAAAAGGCAAAGATGTACTTTTCAACTACATGCTCAAGTCTCAAAATTATAAAGTGGAATAGCCCCACTGAGTTTTGTAGGATGACGCCAGTGGGTAGACGCTTGCAGGATTGGGGTCTAGTATTTTGCTTTGGAACCCATACCTGTCTGAACAAGACTTAAACGAATCAGTGTTCCTCTGGCGCTTGCCTGAAAATCTGCAGTACCTGTAGTGAGTGCCTGTGTGCCTTCTTCCCTACTAATTTTTAATGACTCATTATTCATTATTTCCAAGTTGGTGCAGCACATTCCAGAAGCAAGTCTGAACTACCAGAAAGTGCCTCCAGGATCAGTGGAACTGAAGGATTTTGACCAAAATATGAACGATAATAGAGAAGAGGATCCCTCAAGAAAAACGAGGACGAGAAACCGTGAGGAGGCAGGCCACCTTTTTCTTTACTTTATATACAGCATTGCTTTAAACTGCAGTATGTGTACCTGCTCTCTTTCTAAGCTGCCAAAGGCTACTCAAAAAAAAAAAAAATGCACTTCTCAAGAGCCTTGACTTGTAGGTATAGAAACTGTTCAAAAAAGAAAAAAACAGGAACAGAATCGCCCTTCATGCCAATACTGACTGGTAGTTTTCTCTCTTGTGTAAAACTCCACTAAAACCTGAGGCTTGGTCACTTGCTTGGGAGGGGGCATTCGGTGTCAGAGCCCACTTACTTCACTGCTGTTTTGAAGAAAAACACAAAAAGCTCAACTTTGAAATGTGCAGCACCGATAGTTTAATGGCACCTTACTTATCTGCAACCAACATCTTGGTTAGAGCTGCCCATGGAGCAGCAGTGGCAGAATCTGGACCTTACGAGGAGTTTCCGCAGCTGGGCTTGAGCGCGGTGGCACAGCGGGGTTACTGGGCCGTGCAGACAGCGAGCCACTTGTTCTGCATTGCTCCCTTCAACATCTGCAATTTGATGCAATTCTCCTGGGTTGAGAGAGCAGGGTAACCTGGAAATCACTGCAACGATGCTAAAGGGTGAGGAAGCCTGGCCTGAAACTTGAGGCTGGGGCTGGCGGAGGGGTGAGGGGTGTAGGGGGGCGATGGTGCCAGAGAGCAGAGGAGCGGGCTGCTGATGCAACGCTCTCGGCTGTTGCTTCTGCTTGCTTTCTGCCTGCTGGCTCTGGCTGGGAAGGAAGAGCTGGGGCAGAGGCTCCAGGGCAGGCAGGAGGGGAGAGCTGGGCTCCAGCATGGGCACTCTGCTGCTCTGGAGGTGGAGTGTGGCTCAGGTGGGAGCTGGGCTCCAGCACGGGCGCTCTGCTGCTCTGGAGGTGGAGTGTGGCTCAGGTGGGCAGATGGAGGGGGAACTTGGGCTGAGCCACTGGTACCCATCCTGTCCTGTGCCCGACTTGAAGCAATCCCTCACTTCCCAGTAAAGAGGTGCCAAGGCTGAATAAAACGTGCAGGGTCAGAGTACCCCCAGCTGATGCAGGCTTTCCTGACAGAAGTCTGGGGGCTCTGCTGAGCCCCAGGACTTGAATATTTGGGGTTTGGTGGTTTGTTGTTGTTGGTTTTATTAAAGCAGATTGGAACATGGTGGGATACCTTGTTGTGAAGGTGGCTTGAACTCGTATAAATCACAGGAGATGGTTTCAGTGAGACTGCTTGTGGGGCTTCTTGTGTTGCAGTTCAGCTTTTTGGGTTTTTCTTGGGGGGGGAAGTGCCTGTGAGGTTTGGAAAGTCTTAAACCTTTTCTTCCAGAAATAGTTGTGTTACTTCAGACAACTCTCTGTCTCTAGAAAAAAAATCTGAACAAGTTAATATTGAACTTTTTGCCAAAATGCGGCAACAAAGCCGCACATCATCTTAATCTCCCTCGAGCTTCAAGTATCATCCACAAAGATGAAGATGTTGCAGTGGAGATCACTCACTGTAAAAAGTTTCCAGTTTTGTCATATGTGACTTTTGCTAAAAGTTCTCTGATTTGCCCTTTTGTATTTTAGGTAATCTTTGACAATCTGATGTTGAACCCAGTGTCCCAGTTATCACATACAATCCGTGAAAATACAGAAAACCTAGCTGAGAAAATGAAGTAAGTATCTTCTTGTCCCTGGCCTGAAATGTTGACTTGCTGCTGAGTTTGTTGACTTGATACTTGTGGAAGATAGTGCATTGTTGCCTCAGAAAGTCGTGTTATCAAGATACAGGGAGTCTAGATGTAGGAAACTGTGTGTAGTGAAGGAAGGGTAATATGATTATTTGCATTGTCTTTTCCTCCTATGTTTGGCTTTTGGAATTTTAATGCTGGATTTGTAATGCCTGTTGATGCCTTAACTTTGAAATGTTGCCTGTGCAAAGATACAGCAGAAAACTGGTGGATGGTCTTCTCTTTCCTTCCCTGTCCCAAGGCCTTCAGAAAGCCAGCAGGTTACCAGGCTTGTGAAATCTCTTCAAAGTTTGTTGTTGCTTTAGAAGACATCAGTTAGGGAAGGGCTTTGGATTGTTCCTAAATCAGCCTGATTTAAATCAGGCGCTTTCTCCAGTTGCTAATCTACCAATCTCCTTTGTTGCCACATCTTGTGATAGTTAAGTCTTTTAAACAAGCAGCTTCTGGATGGCAATTTTAAGACCTGCTCCACTTCTTGTGCTGCAGGATTCTGTTTCAAAACTCGGAAAGGACCTGGGAGGAGATGGAGGCCAAGATGAATTCAGAAAATGAAGTGCCAATACTGAAGACATCAAACAAGGTAAGACCATGCAAACAAGTGAAATACTGAATGCTTTTGTCAATGAAAGCTTTGTAATAAACCACAGCAGCAAGCTCTGGCCCTTCTCCAATCCATTTCTGAAATTTCTAGTCCATTCACACACGTTCAGCTGCTGGTTTTTGTTGCAGTTTGAAGTGTGACAGAGTGAGTTCCTTCAGCTTGCTGTGTTTCACCAAACTTCCCCTCTCCCTTTGTGATTCATCTTCGAAGACCTAGTCCCTTAACAGATGTTCAAGTTCAGGGTCATTAGGCCTCATTTAAACATCTACCAAAGCATCACCTACAGTGTGGTTGCCCCAGCTTCAGTTGTAGACAGGTGATTCTCGCTAATGTTTGTTTTCTTCACTTGTAACAGTTTGATAATAGGGCAATAAAAAAGCTTCAGCCATAGGGTGGTGTTTGTACTTTCATGACCTCTTATTGACATTGATGGGGACTGCCAGTGGTACACTAATGGACCCAGTAATATGTTCAGTGGTAAGTGTACATACAATGCTGTGCAGGATCTGTGTAGCTCAGTGCTGCAGCAGTATATCTGTGGCCAATTGCTTTGTCTCATCTAGGAGTTGAGTTTACAAATACCTTTGTGTATTTGGTATTAAGGAGGATGTGGAGGAGCTGTTGTACAGTTAATCTGGCTAGCTTTTCAAATCTAAAAGCCACTGTGGCTGTGAAGCAGGTGGTGGTGTAGCAACTTGGTGAAATGATGGAGAGCAGAGGTCCCTGTGTGCTGACCAAATGCACCTCAATACAGATACTAGCTTTGTCATTTCTGGTAAACAAGCAAGGTTGGAACTGACTTTGAATCTTCTTGATTGGATAAGGCAGAAGGAGTAAGACTAGATTCCTGCATCTGTTGAGTTGCTTTGTTGCTTAATTTTCCATTCTGATGCTTTTGTTTCTAGGAAATCAGTTCTATCCTGAAGGAGCTTAGGAGAGTTCAAAAACAACTTGAAGGTTGGTCTTTTAAAATATTATTTTTGTCTCTCAAATGCCAGTAAGTTGCACAAAATAAAATAATGCAACTTGATTTGCCACTGAAAGCTGGGAAAGGATGCAGAAGTTTAGTTTGCTAGCCCAGTGCTCTCTGACAGGTGCATATGAAATGAACAGTCGATTTATCTTGTGCTGCCAATTTTTAAGAAAATTGTTGACTTTTGAATTCTGGAAGCTGTTGCTGTGGAAATACTTTGTTTGTGGTAATTAGCATAGCCCCATAAGATGAAATGGCAGAGGTCTGTTCTGCTGAAGTAATATTTAGGAGCTCTTTCAGCCGATCAGCTGTGCTATGCTATTTGGAATTGAATTTTGCACATAGAGCGGTGCAATGGAAAAAGCAAGACAAGCTCTTGCATCATCCATAAGCTTTAATAAAGGCATATAAAAAGATACAGGCATCAATTTGGACTCTTGCTAAAAGCTTGTCATTTGGCTGCTGTCATTTGTTTTTTCCAATTTAACCAGAAAGTTGAGTGTCCTCATAGCTTCAGTTTGGGAGAGGTTTTGCTTGTTAAAGCTGCTTAGGCCTGAAAGTACTAATGAAGAAAACATCATGACTAAAATGAGCGCGAGCATTGTCTACAGTTCTACTGCCTTCAAAAATGAAGGCAGCAATCTTCTGTTTAGAAACTCTGCTGAGTGCTGCTAATATGTCTCTGTATGTCTTTTTTTCTTTTTTTTTTTCCCTCCCCCAGTCATAAATGCTATCATTGACCCTACTGGAAACTTGGATGTAGTTGCCAGTAACAAAGCATCTTCTGCTGCTAAACAATCTACAGCCACTAAAGTCAGGACTGCTAACACTTCTGGGTCCCCACTGGAGACTTTGTCCCCAGCACAGATGAGAAACTACACACAGAAATCGAACTGTGGGTCTTCTAGCTTACGAGATTCGAATTTCATTCCAGAAGGAGAGAAATATGTGATCTGATACAATATTTTGTATTGCTATCATATTGTAATCTACTGTCGCATTAGTATTGTGTATGAGTGGTTTGTGGACAGTTTGTGTGGAGCAGTTGTTTAGATTGCTAACACGTTGCACAAAAAAAAAAAAAAAAAATCTATGCTGTGAGGGTGAATGGAAAGTCTGTGTATGCCTTTTAAACAAGACGAGCACTGTGGAGCAGCACATATTCAGCATAGAGGCAAACTGATTTTTAGAAAATTACTCACTTATTCTTCCAGTGTGCCATAAGAAAACAGGCTTTGCATACACTCTATTCAATACTGCCGAAGCTAAAGTGTTCTAGCACTGGCCTGTTTATAATCATTCAGTTGTCATGAGGCGCAATTTAAAAAAAAAAAAAAAAAAACAAAAAAAAAAAAACAAAAAAAAAACCACAAACCCAAACCACCTCTTTTGGTACTATATTTGTTTTGGTTTTATTTTTTGATTTTTTTTTTTTTTTTAAGCGTACAAGTGAAGCATTACAATTCTGTTGGAGTCAGTGTGCAAATCCAACAAAATGATCGTGCAATATTGTGGGTTTCTAGGAGAAACTCTTACTACAGTTGTGTAAGAAGTCCTTTTCAGCAGTCGTAAAAAGGCAACCACTATGAAGTTTTGCATCAGTTTTTTCAGTCCAAACCCCCAAAAAAGACGGAATAAACCCTTTGTTTTTCTCTTGGGAAAGTGTAAAAGTTAATAATGGTATGAATGTAAAGACTACTAGTACAGTTACTATTTTTGATGATGTTTCACGCCCAAAGTTAGGGGTAGGTACAAAATGTCAGATTTTACAGTTTAGCTTGCCAACTTTTCATGATTTCGGTACAAATGCTGTCTGTAAGCTGCTTTTTTTTTTTTTTTTTTTTTGTAAATATACGGTCTTTTTACAGTGAGCTACAAATGCCTCTGACTGGGCCAAAGACTAAGATGTTTGTGATTAGCTAATTGCTAAGAAAATCATCTGTTTCAGTGGCTCATGTAATAAATGTAATTGCACAGTTGCTGTGAACTAGTGTTCACTTGACAGCACTGAAAAAATAATGGCTTAAATGTAGCTCCACCTTTATGGCTAGTTCTCTTATGAATTTTTTTTCAATGCAAAAGTGCTTGAAGACCATCATTCTGTGGTATTCTTCAGCAACTATTCAACAGTGGCAAGCACTTAGTACATTTGGGATTTTTGTCTGGATTTTATTTTTGATCTGTTATAATCCTAGAAAAACTAAGGATTATGTGCAGTTGCACTGAGCAATTCCTTGTTTAAAAAAAAAAAAAAAAAAGTTGTTGTTTTGGTGTTCTGTCTTTCTGTTAAACTGCAAAACATTAAGTAATTTTTGTTGTTTTAAGAACATAAGTTTGGTTTTGAGGGGACCTCTTCCAGACGTGTTTGCTCCCAGTTTTTTCTGTCTTGTAACAATTCCTTTTTCATTCTTCCCGTTCAGTAAACACTAATCAGGTAAAGAAGTTCTTTTGTAGCTGTGGAGGATACCTTTGCTGGGACAGGTGAGCAGATGAGTTCCACTTTGCCCTCATACAGTGTGTAGTTTAACCAGTGAAAATGGTTTCCCGAGCTTGACTGCTTCTTGTGTGCTGACTTTATATTTTGGGGTGGGTAGTGGATTCCTTAGTTAGCTTCAGTAGTTACCTGAGCCTTTCTGCTAGAATGTTGTAACAGTGGGAACCTGTTAAAATAATTTAAATAAATAGGGATGCTCACAAAGTGTTTAATCTTACTAGCGGAGACCGTGACTGCTTTCCTGGTGAAGTCAGTGGGAGCTTTCTATCAATTTCAGCAGAAACAGGATCAGTCTCGAAATGGGAGTATGTCGACAGGCCAGTGGTGCCTTTTGAGCGTGCACAGTGCTGGCTGGTAAACAGTAGGTGCAAATACCCTTCCAAGATTTCCAGTAGGTTATAAGACTCATCTGCTTGTGTAGAGATGCTCTTTCCAGGGAGAAATCGGCTGGGTTTTACATAGATGAACGCAGAATAAAAAAAAGAATCTGCCCTTGATGTTCTGCCTGTAATATACGCACTATCTGAATGTTTTCTTTCAGCTGTTTATTCTGATCTGTTTTTTCTTGAAATACTTGACTGTGTCCTTGATGAATATCGTAAGTGGTGGTATCATTCCTGACACGAGACACAATTTTTCAAGCCCAGCTTGGGTAGGGTTTGAAGCGATCAGGTGCTACCCCAACTCAGGAGGAGTTGAAGGACCTTCACAGATAAGGTGGTGGTGTTTCAGTTTTGCTGTGGAGACAAATGAATTACTCAGATATCTGACTTCCATTAACATTTGCTAACCACATTTCCACATCTTCATGGCTATGCTCTAGTGGATTTTGTTTCTCTGCAAGATGCCCTTGATGGGACTTCTGTTTACTTTCAGTTGAAAATTGTTTGATTCTTCTTTCATTCATGAACGCATTGGGGATAGATTTTTTTTTTTTTTTTTTTTTTTCCCCTTGCTTCCTCTGTTCTGAACTTGAGAGAGCACTGGCAGACACCATTACAATTAAATCAACCCGCAAATTATGATACCTCTTCAAATGACAAACGAGGATGCAATCGGTGTCTGTTTATAATCTGGGAATGTGTGTGTGAAGGGGTAGGAGGATGAACAACTCGATCTGTTTTATTTGTGACTCAGCCAAACTATAGAACGCCCCTGTGTCCTGAGGCAGCGTTCATCCGTGCATCTTCGCATTTAAAACAGTTTCGCTAGTCAGTAATGAAATGCAACATATTTTTTTTCTTGTATTCTCTGCTTCTGAAGTACACCTCCCTTACACTTGTCTGCTCCAGATAAGCCAGAGCGCTGGCCGCCTCTTACTCCTTCATTGATTGCTCGTTCTTACAGGCAGTGCTGCCTGCCAGCATGAAACGTGCCGCTGGGTGACCCCGCTGTGAGCCTCGCAGCTGTGGGCTGGTGTATCTGGGAGGCCCAGGATCGGTGTGTAAGGTACCCGTGGGCTTCCACGGGCCACGGCTGGGCCTTGCGTGGAGCTTGACCTGTGGGGCGCTCCCCTACCGCCCTGCTTCCATTTGGTTTGTATCTGACTGACGAAATGTAACGAAGGGTGGGATTTTCAGAGCCTTGGGGAAGCAAGTGCTCAGGTCCTTTTGGGTTTCCATACGCTTGGGGTGCCTGATGCCGTGAGCACCTTTCAAAATCCCAGACCTCAGCTCTTCCACTGTACTTGAAAACCATGTTCTCAGTTCGACGCTTTCAAATGTAAAAACCTGTTACTGTGTTCTGATAGCGTGAATGTGAATTCCCGCGAGGATGTGTACGAGCTGTGTGAGCGAGGACCTCACTTCACCTGCAGTGATGTCATGTCGTGCTCGGGCTTCAGGAGAAAAGAACACCTGCATCATCTTTGAGTATTGTAATAAAGGTACAACTAGTGAAATGTTTACATACAGCCTACTGAAAAAAAAAAAAAGAGGAGAAAAAGATAAAAAAGTGTAAAGTATGTAAGTGCAAAATTCTACTAGTTCTTTCCTGTTTTGCTGATCACACTAGCTATTTTTGGAGTTCTGTAAATGTGTATAACTTTTGCAAAGACCAGACACAACTACCTGTTCACTTTCGATGTGCCCCGTGCTGAATTGTGCCTATTTCACTCTCTGATGTTGTTACGCTGCTGATTCTGCTGTTCTGAACTGCTCACTGGATCATTCCATTTGCATGCAACACAAATGCAAGCTGAGCTGTCTGAGAGTAAAGCTGAAACACGTTTGTATAACTTGAATCGGTTAATGACTTTCTCTTTTCCACACCCTCTTGAAATGCTGTGTATAATTTTGATTTGTTTCTCCTTCCCTGATTTTTTTCTGCTTTTGTTTGGTTTTTTTTTTTTTTGAATGGTAATTTATTTTTGTTTGGATTATAGGCAGTATCTGTACATTTTGTTTCAAGGTGATATTGTGGATGTCTTTAAAAAAAACCAAATTGTTATTTTATATAATTTTATCATAAAGTTGCTCTAATAAATCATTCTTTTATCATGTGACAATGATTCTGGATTTCGTGTGTTAATTTGGGGGGGGAGTGTGTGTTTGGGGGACTAAAGTTTTTCAATTGCCTGTTTACATTGGTGTTAAATACAGCACAAGGAAAGAATTGTAAGCAGCTGAAGACTCACACTTCAACTGGATCTGTCCTGGGGACGCCTGTGGCTGGGGCAGATCCTTCTCCAGTAGTACAGGGGTCCCCCTTCCCTGCCCCTGTACTCACAGGATTGAAGTCCCCAAGTCCCCATCACCCGAGAGGGGTCTGACTTCCAAGTCAGGTATGGTGATAGTTGGTTTAATTTTTAGTACTGTTTTATTTCATTGCCATGATTAACAATGGTAGTTAAATCCAGCCAGCCTGGATATGATCATTCCACAGCAGGTATGTGATTATAGAAAAAGATTATTGGTCTCAATCTTTTGCTCTCACCTTATATATATATATATATATATATATATATATGTATATATATATATATATATATATATATATATATACACACACATACACACACATATGTAAAAATATAAATGTATCTTGGAGTTTATGAGTCTGTGAAATTATTTTGATTTTTCCCTTCATTCCATCACTGTCCTTCCCTCCTGCAGTTCTGTCTGACCTTTGCGTCCTTCCTGGCACTTTTGAAACAACTTTATTCCTCCTTCCCCTCTGCTCAGCCTCCGGGTGCCTGCAGCCTCCCCACCCTGCTCGGTGCCGCATGGGACTCTGCCTCCACGTCGTCTGCATTAGCACGGCTTCTGTAGGAAGTGGAACGTGTGTATCTGATAAAAACATTGCATTGTTTGCCAGCAAAAACTAAAACGCAAAGCCGGGGGGGGGCGAAGTACCTAACCAGGATCAGTGGGAGACTTCCCATCCCCTGGTGACCTTTGCATTAGATATTTGAACATGAGACCTTTATGCTTAAAGTTTTAGGGAGGGGTTTTATGGTTTTGGTTTTGTTTGGCTTTTTTTTTTTTTTTTATTCATTAAAAAATAAAGTTCTTCTGCCTCTTAAAAAGCTTTCTTAAGCTTAGCTTGTGTGTGCTGTGTCTGCAGAGAAGGCTTTCTGTGTTCTCTAAACTACAGGGCTGGGTTACGCATTATGTTGTCTCTCCCCAGGCTTCCCCAGCAGTACCCAGCAGTGTTTGAGTTGGGACGCTGTGCAAAGTGTCCTCTGGAAACCAGTAGTGCAGCCACTTCATTAATTTTTTAACAGTCTCTCTGAATAAACGTAAGAGGTAGTGGAACTGTGGCCAAAACTATTTTCAAGGGAATGAAAGCTGCGATCTGGCAGAATTTAAAAAGGAAGGATAGATGGCAAAAGTAATGATTGTGCATCTTCCTGCTGAGCGTTCAGCTGCAACCCTGCCTGGGCCCTCAACGTCCTCATCTGCTTGGGGAAATACAGCCTGGTTTGCAACGTGTGTGGAGAAGGGAACACCAGAAAGTGTTGCTTAGAGCAAAAGTTTAAGTCACCAGAGAGACGGATTCTCAGGTTTTTTTATGCCATGTGAAGATCTACTCCTGGACCCTCATCTGCTGGGTTCTCCCGTGGGAGGGCCGTGCCTTTTTCTGACACAGGCATTTGTGGACTGTTTCAAGAGCAAAGCCTTGCTGGGCTCAGCTTTTTCTGGCGAGAGGGGATTGATGTGGGGCAACAGTGGGCAGTTTGGCTGTGGGGCGTGTTGCTTTCCTTCGGGGGGGCGCAACCCTGGGACGCGGCCCTGCAGGGACTCGGAGCACCTGCGCGCAGGAGCGTGCCTGATGCACTTGTCTAGAAAAAGTATTTTATTTTAATGGATTGGCTGCCTAGGTGTCTGAATGATGTGGGCTGAGCAAGAGAAGCCAAGAAAAATGAACGTAAGAAAACAGTACTCTATCCTGCTTAAGCTTTTTTTTCTTCCTCTGAACAGAAATTACTGAAAATACTGTACTTGCTAAAAGAATCGGTGCCTGAAAGGGCTTGTTCAACACCAACACTTCTGCCTTTCTCAACATCCAACTCATAGAAACTAGAAACTTTAAAAAAAAAAAAAAACAACAAACAAACAAAACAACAAACCAAAGCAAACAAAATGTGGCATCCACCTGGGGACACTTCATAGGCAAGGAAATATCCAGAGGGCACAGGTGAAATTTGATTCCACCTGTGGCTCTAGCCCAGCAAGGTAGCCCAGTAACCAGGAGCACAGGTCACTCCTGGGGGGTAGGTTTGAATCTCCCTCCTAGGCGCAGATAGCCGGGCAGGCTTGAGGAGGATGGATCACAACACAGCCCCTAAAACACCTTCACAGGCAGCACAACCTCTGTGTAATCAAGAAAAACGTTCTTTATCTTCAGGAGGATGTGAGGGTAGCAGTTGCATCAGGCCAGTGGTTTCCTGGGTTGCCAGGTTCTCTGCAAAGCGGAGTGTAATTTTTATAATACAAAGCCAGAATATTAAAGACAGACAGCACACACTGAAGCTTCTCCTATCACTTGTAGGTCATTTTTCCTGGGTGTGACTGGAGGGTGAGTGCCACACAAGAGGGGTGACAAGACTGAGACAGCAAAGGACTCTGCAATCACTTGTGCTATGCAAATCACTGATTTTATTTATTTATTTTCCACTGAAATATTTTTTCCGATCAAATTACAGCTGACAAGCGTTTCATTTTAGGTTGAATGAAATGATTCCAAAATAAGTGTTAAATATTTCAAGTCAAATGTTTCAAGTCCATGGTTAGAGCTTTTTTGTGAATTTATTGATTTTTTTAAAAAGTGGAAATTGAGTAAATCTTTAAAAATGTTTCCAAATAAAAGAATCACAATTTTATTTAGACTTTGAAATTTTCTCTAGGCTTGTCAAGAATCACTTCCCAATTCTTGACCTGAAATGACTTCTTTTTCTTCCCCCCCTCGGCTCACTTGAGTATACAGTCTTTTGGCATAAAGTATAAATAGAGCATTTTTCTTTTCAAGTGTAAGGACCCTGGCTGTTTGTGCCTCCCATCCTTCTGTCGACTGTTGGTGTTCGCAGCCCAGCCGCCTAGTCCTAGTGAAATGGAAAGTGTAGTTTTGTAGTAATCTCTGCAGTGACAGCGACGTTTTTGTCTATTAATAGCTCTTGGAGATGAGAACGTGTTAAACTGGCAGTTTTTTCTTAGTGAACCTCCCACACAGGCATTAAAAGATCTTTGACGGAATCTTTTAATGCACCCTCCTAACAAACTGGAGTCCAAGCATGCTTTTTAGGAGGGAGTACATTAACCACAGTGGCATCCAACCGTACAGTGAGCGATGCATTTACTCTGTGTGTGGGCTGGTGGCGAGTCAACCAGAGCAACGGGTAGAAGGAGCCTTGTCTGAGAAATGGGGAAGAGGAGGAATGAAAAAGATTGCTCGTTTGCCCTGAAAATTGCCGGTCTTTTTTTCTTTCATCTCTCCAATTTCATGAGTTGGTCAAATAAATCATATTCTCCCCACAAACCCACTTCCATCTTTAAACCCTCAAAGCTACAATGCTGCTAGTAAAATCAGGAATGTGTAATTGATGTTGGGTTGGTATGTGAGATCAGATAAGCAGAAGGAAACCAGACTTTTGCAAGCTGAAGAGAAGGAGGACGATGAGATTAATCAGTGCTGTAAGTGGTTAGAGAGCTGCCAAGGAGGAGGAGAAACACAGGTCCTTTTTCTGGAAGCTGCTCTTCCCCCAATACAACCCAGCCGCTCCCAGTTTGAACTAAGCTGGTGGCATTGGAGCAATAAATTGTACATCCTGAACTTCATAGAAATGTGCTGCTGCTTGTGTTTTATGCTCCCGAACTCATTGAAGTCAGCGGGAGCTTTTGTGATTTATGTCACCATAGTTCATGCCAGGATTTCAGTCCTGCACATAAACAGAGCAAGGCGGCTCGTTGCTAAGCTTGCTGACATGCACAGCACACACGCTGACTTAAACTCATGAGGTGCTTAGATGAAATTAAATATTTAGTTTGGATGCTCAGCCTCTGAACTCAGCGGAGGGACAGGGACACTTCCCAGAGGCAATCTGGACCTCTAGCGTGGTGGCTCACTGGAGTTGCCTCTTTTCCCTGACTGCAGATGAAGCCTTGGTGAAGGCAGGGTCCTGCCTGGTAACATGAGTCTAAAGGGATGGCAGTAGCCTTTGCCTTGATTTTTAAAGCCCTGACAGGTGATCTGTGCACAGCAGTGAATTCAGGAGAGCTGCCTGCTCAGACAGGTGTCCTATCTGCTCCACCATCTTCTTTCCTCTCACTTTTGTCCTTCTTTGAGTTACTGCTTGTGTTTTAGTCCCAGGGGAAGCAGCAATTCATGACACCTTCAGCTTCCCAGAGAAAGGCCCCTTTTTGCTGTACCTGACCTATCCATCCTCTGGCTTCTCTTTTCCATCTCCAGCCACTTACTATGAGGTATGATAAGGCCTCACGAGTCTTGTTGGCCCTCAAGTCGTCTCTCCATTGTTTTCCCCTACTGCAGCCTTCCTCGGGTACTGAACTGGGGAACTGCATCCTTCAGTTCAGCAGGTTTGAGGGACTGCCTGGAGAATAACAGCAGCATTGCCATACTGCGGTGTGTGGACAGAGGTGCAGCCTTTGGATTTTTACAGAAGACATTTCTCAGAAGCTGCCTGTAACTCAACATCACATGTAACCTTCTCCCTCAGCAGTGTTGCTGGAAATTCCAAATACCATTTGTTTAAGATGAAAGCTGTGTTCTCTCACAGGAGCTAGTTTGCTTCCTTATGTTTGCCTAAGGATGATTGGGCAGGAGAGTGCTTGCAAGAGGAACTGGGTAGAGAGGCATTTTTGGAGTGTTTGTTCCTTGGGTTAAAATGAAGCTTCTGGTGGGTTAAGAATGAAGTGGTGTAAATGCTGCCATGTCTGGGATGCAAACTGCATTGAAGCTGAGCAGTCCTTTCAACCAGTGTCTTCTAGAGCTGCTCGAGGCTCTGATCTTACACCATTGAAGACAGTGGGAACTTCACCATTGAAC